AAAATATTGTCCTTATCAACATCATTTACATTTCTTTTTCTCGTATCATTTGAGGCGCCACAAATTTCTTTTAGGCAATTACCTGAAATTATGAGAAGATATCGACATAATATCACAAAAAAAATATCGAATTAATTTTACAGTAGGACAAAAGTGCACCAGTTATCGAATCAAACCAAGACGACAAGTTTATGCCGGCTTTCTTGATATATCTTTGGAAATCACTGAGTATTTCTCTCCATTTTGATGGAAAACCATTTTTGAATTTACTGACTAACGAATCCGGATATCCTAAAAATACATGTTGAAGAATCAAACTACTACATCAATTATTATTCCAGAAATATTTTAAAATATAAAATATAAATATTTTTATATTAGTTCCAGTGGATCCTTCGGCCATTTCCAAATGTTAATAAGAAAGACATATATAAAGATATTATAAAGATATTACCATATATATATATAAAGATGCTAAAGATGGAATATGCCATCATACAAAAAGAAGTTATCATTAAATTATCATTAATGTTTCGTAAAATTTATCATAATTTATAATTCTATGAAATAAATGAGAAAAAAATCGTACCGCAGGCGACGGCAAATTCATTATCGATTGGTCCATCAAGAACGTAAACAACACCAGAAGACGAAACCAGAGTTCTCGAATTTTTTCTTTGTACAATTGCTGAACTGTTCCAATATTGTATTCGATTTGAATCCAAATCATCGCTTTTAAAGCCTCCGATATATATTATCGAATGTTTAAGATTGAACTAAAAATTTCGTAAAATTTGGATGGAGAATGGAAAATAAATCAAATAATCAATTTTATATAAAAATTCTACTATAATTCCCCTTTATAGATAAATTTTAATGTTTTTCACAAAATACGGACTTGTCTCATGGTTTATGTTTGATCTTTTACTTTAAAAACACTTTATATTTCTTAAGTTTCATTGTAGTCGAACCAGACCAGACCATTTTTTGACACTTGGCGATAGAAATAATTTGCATTTTTGAAAAAGAATGGTTCACTCCCGCTCGCCAAGAATCGAATCCTAGCATTAACGCTCCGAAATGAAAACAACAGCCCCACTGAATCATTCTACTCCTATATAAAACCTTCCAGGAATAAAATCGGTTCAATATCTAACTTTGAAAATCCAATTCTTGATTTCGATTCGTTTCGATGCCATTAAGTAACTGAAAAAAAAATATTTTATTTAATTATGTCTAAAAAACCAAATGACCCAAACAAAAGAAAGAATAACTCAAAAAACATCTGAAACAATTCAATTAAACTGTTCGAAGACATTTATAACATTGTGCTTCTTGATTAGCTTGATTAGTTCGGTTATAATACTTATTACTTGGTTAGAAGTGCAAGTACCATACTGAATTTTTATAAGCTCACTTTTGCTGATAACAGAGATAATTTTACCAATTAACACGATAGCTACTATCCAATACAACAATTTTATTTACAATTGTTAAGAGAGATCTACATACATAAATATTATATGGATGACGAAAAGAACAGAATATGAGTTGTTAAAGAAATACCAGGCGCTGAAAGAGGAACTAGAGATGTGGAAAGTAATTGGAGCGCTTGCAAGTGTCATCCTAAACTAGAAGAATGGCTTCGGCAAAACTCCAGGAAGAACATTAGAGACTTCTGCTCAGAAAAGCGCATTGCTAGGAGAGGTAGTGCGCAGAACTCCGAACTTCCCAGGCCTCTGACTCGAGGTCGCGAATGATCCTTACTTACCCAAGAGGGAAGAACTTCTTCCTTTTTTATGGCTTGAAAAAGTTTCTAGAATCTGCTAATCATTTTCTTGGAGGAAAGCAAGAAACAACCAAATGAAACTGGTTTAACTAACACGATAATTATGATTTATAAAAATAAAATAAAAATTTATAAAAATAAACGAATTAATTTCAATTACATTCAGAAATAGTAAATAATAATAAATAATCAAAAAATTAAACCAAATGACAAAAATTATGAATCAATAAAAGTGAAAAACAAAATTAGTAGAAAATAAAGAAAAATGAACAAAACAAAAAATAGAAAATAAAAGACAAAATTTTATTAAAAAAATAAAATAAAAATGCCATAAAGCAATGAAATTAAGTAAAAAATTCTTATTGATCTGATTAAATTTTTTAAAAGAAATAAAATTGGAAAACAAATTTATAAAAATTTATTAAAAATTCAAATGTATTCTTTCCAGTTTTGAAATTTTTTTCGATATTATTTTAATAAAATTCAAATTTTAATTAAATTGATGATTTTTAATAAATGATAATTAAAAATTTAATAAAAGAATGTAAAAAACACTAAAAATATTGTAAATATTAAAAATTAAAATATCGAAAATTTAAAAATAAAATTTCCCACAAAAACAATAAATTCGTCCGCGGAGACAAAGTTCGGTCCCTCTAATTCAGGCGTTGAACATTTCCTCCTCACACTTCCCTTATCAGCAGCGAAAATTGGGCCTTCTCAGGAGGGGATTCAGCTGATAACGGAATAACTCAAGCCATTCGAGATGAAATATTTGCATTTTAGTTCCCTCTGAATATTTATCAACAAATAAGTTTTTTCAACTACTTAGTGCAAAACTGGATGCATTTTTATAATTTTATTTATTTAATTTCTTTATTACGATTGGTAAAACTGTACAGAGTCGGCGGCACTCAGAATCACCGGCATCACCTTCGTCTTGCAAAAGGTAGATCCACTCTTGCCTGGGGTAGTTTGCCTTTCAACACAATTATTTGTGACATCCATTCGGCTGTTCTCGCCCTGGCACTGTTCATTTTCCTCGGTTATATTTATTTTCCGCTATTTTATAGAATTTCTGGAGATTTTATTTGCAAATTTAAATAATAAACATCAAATTTATATTATAAAATGCTATAAAATACATTTATATTGTGGGACCATTTAGAATTTTTGAAGAATTCACCACTAAATATTATTTTAGAAGATTCTTCTACAAATTCATTGATTTCTCTAAATTCCATGGCAATTTTCTAATAAAACCACCATAAACCCTCAAAACGTTAGTAAAACATTGTAGTGAAGTTTTCGGACTATTATGTCTAACCGGAATGTGAGGGGGTTCATCAAAAATATATTAAAGGATATAAAAGGATATTTCAGCGTAAAAAGACTTTCGAAGGCGGAATACATTATTAAAAACAGTAGCGAGTTATAAGAAAAGGATACAGTGAGGTGTGGGCTCCATGAAGGAGGAACCAAGAATAACCGGGTTAATACAAATGAAGAGATAATTAATTCCAACAAGATAATATGGTGGTTTGGTAAAATTAAAAAGAATCAACAAAATTGCGAGAATCTGATGTTATAATAAACTATGACTATAACAAAGTCAAAGTCTATTAATAGCCTATTAAAGGATTACGAAACCTTCATTATGATCACGAAAATACAAAGAAATTTAAGAAAATTTAAGAAATTTAATACTAACAATATATGACAGTACATCCAGTTCAACAAGATTTAATCTAGTCTGAAACAAAGAGGACTTCGAATGGTACTGAAGAAAAGTATATCATTTATCGAGAAAATCAGGTAAGGTAGGAGAGTTGAATAATTAACTTTACTACCTTACCTATAAGTAAAAATAAATTAGTGAGAACCGGAAAGAATTTGAACAAAATTTGACAAAAGATTTTAAAGAAAATTAATGATTTTATTTCAGATATAAACTATAAACTAACGAACTAACAAAGCAAATTTCTTTATAGAGAAACGTATCGTAAATCTTCATACATTTCTGATTCATTACAGATGCATTCAAAAGATTTTCATGATGAATGCCAAAAATATTCAAATAAATTTCTTTTTTGAGCAGATACATGAACCTTCTGCCTAGAATATAAATTTTTATACTATTTTATGATGAATACATTATTAAAAACAGTAGCGAGTTATAAAATATTGTTTTCGATTAACGCAAAAAAAAGCTTTATCACTATTAAATATAAAAAATCACCGTATAATAATCATTGAATTTCACTTAAATAAGCCGCATTTTTACCATATTATTTACCATATTTTAATTCCCGAATGGAACAATAATTCTATTTTTCAGTAAATAATACCTTTCTCTTCCGATTGCCGAACGATGTATCCTTTTCAGTATCCATTACTGCAAAATCATAACTTTCTTCTTCAGCAGCGGTTTCGCCATTTTCTGCTAATTCTGATAAAAAAATTATGAACAGAGTATTAAAATATAATAAATCTTAAATGCATATTTTCCTATAAATTCATATTATTACGAAAAATGAAAACTTGAGGCAGAAAACCGAAAAATACTAACCAGGATATTCATCAGCAGCATCGCCTTCCGAGGACGAATCTTCATTTATTCCACAATCACTTCCATCTTCTTCCATTTCTTCATTATCATTCTCGCTTTCTTCCATGCTATCAAGCTCGTTTTGTGCTGAAATTTCATATTAGTGAAGATAGAAATTTAAATAAATAAATAAAAGATAAAACAAAAAAGTAAAACAAGAGTAAAACAAAAGTAAAGTAAAAGTAAAAAGTCAAATTTTTAATGGAAAAATTCTAATCCTCCCGAAAACCATTTCTGATTCAACTAAATTTTTTCCTTTATGGAATTTGTGCGCAAAATATTTGTATTGAATAAATTTTTCAATTTTTCAAATAATTCTTCTATCCTTCCAGCAAAATCTTCATTCTGAGTGAAGTAATTAGTAATAAAATAATTGGTGATTATTTTATTGGAGACACTATTATAATATTGTGATATATTATGATATGATATGAAATTAAGAAAATTGTATTGTGATAACAATGCATTTGCGCTTAGGCTTATGAATCTCTATATGAATCAGAAAATAAACATCGGAATTTGCCAGTTACATTTTTCAATACCATTTTTATAATACAATTTCAATTAACAAGAAAAATTCTCTACAAAAAAGGGAAAAAAATTTCAATAATTTATTAATACCTTACTTTTTTCCAAATCCCTCTTGAATTTTTTGCCATTAATATGTCGTTCTAATGCATCGGGATCTTTTGTAATTATTCTTCTCGTCACTTTACATCCAAATTTATTGTCGCTGAAAAAAAAAGTATGATCGAAACGCGCAATTAAAATTAATTAAAATGAAATTTTTGATGAAAAAAAAAGGGGAAAGGCTGAACTTTCGAAGAGAAAAAGTTTTCTGAGCACTGAAAAAATAAAACAAAGAAAATAAAATATGAAAAAGAATTTGCACGGTTTTCAAAAAACCAATCCAAAAGACGTTTTTTATGGAATATAAACAAAAAATTTGGAACCAAACCCGATATCATCAAAGTATTCGCCATATTTCTCCATAATTTTGTAAATACGCCACGATCGTAAAAATTTCGGTGATTTGATGTAATCTTGTAATTTTTGCACGTCGAATGGTATTTCGTGACCCGTTAATGTGCATTTCAGCTGTAATTTCATATTATGAAAATAGCCATAATAATAATAATAATATTATTTACATTATATTAAAGAAAATAGCCATAATAATAATATTATTTATATTATATTAAAGTTATGATAAAAAACAAAGACGTCAAAGCAATGCCGAAGAACCAGTTTAGGCTTCAGTGCCATATTTGTCCTTCAGGCCAAAAATAAATTTAAAATATTTTGCAGAACGTGATACAATTATATTATTGCTTTTCCTTAATTAATGAGAAGTTTGCACGTTACCAAAGTTTATAACGGTTAATCAAATAACAAATATCAAACATCTAAAATGTGGTGGGTAAAATATATATCTTATCATAATAATGTATCTTATCACTATCTTATCACATAAATATCTTATCATAATATTAATAAGTTTCAATTTAAATCAATCTTCAACAAAATTTCGTGCTGATAAACCCAACTATTCTATAGCATAAAAGATCCTGAAAATGTTGACTCCTTTTAATGAAATTACACATATTGACATTGAAAATTCGATTATGTGCCATTTCAGCTATCAGAATTACAAAGTAACCTTAAGAAAGAGTCCTTAATTAATTACGAAACTATTAATTGATCAGTGAACAATTAAGAGACTATTTCTTAAGATTTGTCGCTGCAGGATTTAGTAAAATTTCCAAAAATGTGCTATTAGATTCACAATTTTTTGCTGAAGACTCATTGGATATTAAAAATAATTCTTCGGGCTAAAAAAAGCGAGAAATAACAGCAACTTTAGAGTGATAACAGCCTATTAGAATGATAAAAAGTGCACGGCAACTACTATTCTCGACTTAATAATTATCAAAACCAGTGGCAAGTCTCGGCCATAAGTTTGCTATTAGCCCTCTTCGGCAATGCAATAAGTTGCTCTAATCATACTATTTCTAATGCACAAAAATGTTGAATTTTTTAAAATCAAATGGATATTTAAAATTTTGTATTTGAATTTTTTATTCTGCAATAAACAATGCGCAAGAAATTTTTTGTTTATCGAGCCTTATTCTACAATGAAAGCATCGCCTTTGGCTTTAATATTCGATAATTTTTATAGGCGTCAAGTTCGGCAACAGGATAAAATTTGCTCTTCGTTATACACCTAAACGACATCGACAATGGACTTTTGTCTAATGCCAAGAAAACCAAATTCTGGAGAAAAGCATTCTTTTCCTTAAATAACTAATTGAATGAAGAATAATTAAGAATTTTAAAAGAAATAAAAGCGTTTGGCCGAATTTTAAAAAAATAAAAACATTTAGAAGGAATTTCAAAAAATTTTCTAAAAAAAATGAAACTTGGCACTTTATTAATTACTAATATTACTTTTGAGCGATCAGAATGCTCAAATACGGAATAATTCGTTATAATATCGTTTATTGTTTGATGTTCTTCTCGAGTTTGTTTCATTTTTTAGAATTTCGAATATTCTGAAAAAAAAATCAATCAGTTAACCGCTGGAGAAAATCGGACAGTGAGTTTAGGTTCGTTCGTCCACAGCTTGAATATAACACATTTGCCTTCTAACGTAGATATGGTAAGATTAATTAAGCAAATTGAGAGTTTTTAGAAATTTTTTGCGTCGACTAAATTATCGCCTCAAAATTGATCACAAACCGGAATCAAGTTTATACAATCTCGATTCACTTAAAATTAGAAGAATCATACACGATTACTACTTTATTTCCAAAATCCCTCTGGTTAAAATCGCTCATTTCGTATTTACTTCGTATTTTACCAAGGTATCACCTGGTGATAAAAGTGCTGGTGGGCATGTCAGCCAGCCAGCATCACCACGCAGGTTTTCGAAAGACAATTCGCTCCAGCCGAGAGCACTCCCATGATAGATCTCCGCAATTCGCTGAGCTATTCCATCTCCACAAGCTTTTATTTGATTACCTTAGTTTGTGCTAATAATGTTTCAAGCTTATCAATCAATTTCACTAAGGGATAGACTAAAGTTACGCAAAAGCTTCTCGGATGCTAATTTTCTGACCCAAAATCCCTTCTAAATAATAAAATTACTTATAAAACTATTCAACTGTTCTGTTCCATCATAAAGGCTATTGAGCAGATTCATAATGATTGTTTTTGGGAATAAATTTATGCACGAACAAACTAACTAATTTGTGCGAAATCACTAAATATTTCCACGATTTTATAAAGAGGTATCATCGCCATTTTCACATTATCTCTCTTCGGCCTTTATTGTTGCTATTTCACTTAGAGGTGCCCAACCTCTTGGCTTATAGGCCATACTAGAGAAACTGTCTTGGACAGCAAATATAATAATTTAGGACAGTTAAGTGAAAAAAATAAAAACAGCTAAAAATAGCTCCCCCTCTTTATCATATTTTTTATTTAAAAATTTTTTGTCTTATTAATATTTATATTTCTTATTTATTATACAATAATATTTATTACATAATATATCATTTTTAATATTATTATTGAAAGAAAAGAGTACAACGGACATATATTTGAAATAATGCAATATTTGGTCTTCTCTTCATGAGTGATTGGAAGTAAGTAAGTAAAATCAACTGAATGGTGAACATTCACGACTCATCGAGATTGGACATTCCTAAATAATAAATGATATAATAAATAAAAAAAAATCAAGACCAATACTTCCTTTTATTTACCTCCGACCGTATTTACAAAATTTATAAGTTCGACTATGAAGTAGTCTCCTAAATTGCCATTATTCATGATCTAATCTTAACCTATCTTAATCTTCACGAATGTTGATAATAAATCTCCACTAAAGTTCGTTTTAATCCATAGATCAACCTCAGGCCGCAGACCGCCCTCGAGTCGTGGACCAACCTCGAGTCGCGGATCGATCTCGAGTCGCGGATCGACCTCGAGCAGCAGACCGCCCTCGAGTCGCGGACCAACCTCGAGTCGCGGATCGATCTCGAGTCGCGGATCGACCTCGAGCAGCAGACCGACCTCGAGTCGCGGATCGATCTCGAGTCGCGGATCGACCTCGAGTCGCAGACCGACCTCGAGTCGCGGATCGACCTCGAGCAGCAGACCGACCTCGAGTCGCGGATCGATCTCGGGTCGCAGACCGACCTCGAGTCGCGAATCGACCTCGAGCAGTAGACCGACCTCGAGTCGCGGATCGATCTCGAGTCGCGGATCGACTCCGAGTCGTAGATTGATCTTCGATCATTCACGAAAATAAATTAATATTTTTGCAATAAATATGGGGAAAAAAACAAGGAAACAACTTCCATTATAAAATAGAAAATTTCGAAAATTCAATTCCAAAAATTTATTGAAAAAAATAAAATAAATAAAAAATAAAATAATAAATAAAATTTTATTCAAATTTTAAAAAAATTTCATAAAATTTTCAATAATAAAATAAATAATACAAAATAATAAAAACAACGATAAAATAACAAAAACACAAAATACAACAACGAATTCGAGAAGCGCTGAAATACGACAAAACTCCATCAATAATTAATGAGGTAGAAATTAGCGTAAGGCGAATGATGCTTGACAAATTACTAATTCGCAGACGCCGAAATTTCTAACTATCAGACTCTTTCTCTTTTAATGTTAACGTATGATTGCTGGCTAGTTCCACTGGCTACCAATGGTGAGATGTTTCCAGGCTGCTCGATTCGGTCTAGTCGCGACAGTAGTAGAAGCCATTCCTTATACCGCTAGTTGTCGATTTTGATATATGTAAATTTGTAAAATTTCTGTATCTGCGGTTTTTTGAGATGAAATTTTGGTGTGAATGATTTGATTTTATATTATTATTATTTTTATTTATCGCTTATTACTAATAATTTCATTTTTATTGATTGTTATTAACTTTATCTTTAACAATTATTATCAATTATTATTGATTTTTTATTAGTTATTATTTTTATTAATTATTTTTACATTGCTTTTATTAATTATTATTAACTTTATTTTTATTAATTATTACCAGTTTTTTTGTATTAGTTATTTTTTTTTATTTTTATTCACTATTTAATTTGCGTTAATTTTTTGGTGACGAAATTAATTACCGTTCTGAATTTAAATTTTTAAATTTAAAATTTAAATTAAATTTCTTTTTTTCTCTATTTTCTGTTAACTGATCTATCACTGATTTACTGATTTATCAATGATACTATTATTTTTTATCCTTTTTGCTTCTGGATAAGCCTACTCTATTGACTTGCTGGATCAGGCAAGGAAGTCAATAGAACTATCTATAGGCGAGTTTCGGGCATCGGTAGCATAGTTTTAGAAAGATAGGATAGGTTTTCTCTTGTCGAGATTCATAGAAAATTGCAAGGTTTTTTATAATTATATCGTTTTAAAGTATAAATTTTGAAAATTCAAATCACCGGTAATAATTGTCGTATTCAATAGTATTATTATCATTGTCTTTAGCATTATTATCGTTATGATATTTCCTTACAACTAGTAACATTTCCTTATCAGCAGCATTATAAACAGAAATAGTTCGTTCTCAGCGAAATTTCTTTATTATTAGTAATTTGAATAATTAAGGAAAAAGTATTTGGTTGTATTTAATAGTTAATACTTTTAAAATAATCGGCTAAAGCTCCAGCTGTTTTGCTGCACATTTCAGGTTGCATTCCGTTTTCGTATATTGTTATTATCACTGCTGCAAAAAAAACATTATTATTATTATTAGTTTGCAAGAACTCATATGCATCGAAACAGTGGCATTTAGCGACCGTTGGTTGACTTAATTTTTTTCCATACTCTTTTTACAAAGTGCTCTTCTATTGTTCAGAAATTGGGTGTTTAATATCATTTTTATGTTCCATGTGTTCAAGTAAATTATCAAAAAAAAATAATAAATATAAATTATAAACATAAAAATACGAAATAAGTTAATTATGAAAAAAATGAAATAAATGTAAAAATATATAATAAAATGAAAAAAATGCTATATGGATAATGTTAGAGGCAAATATATTACAACGAGTATTAAGGAATATAATATTTTGTAAAATTTAAAATTTATATTTAAATATTTTGTAAAATTAAACGGTGAGTTAGTCTAACAATAATTTAAATTTATTGAAACTCATTAAACAAAAATACAGAAATAAAAATATAGAAAGAAAATTCTCGTAATTTTTTTATTAAAAATAAAAATTCGAAATGAGAAGTTAGTTAATTTTATATAAAATTATTTATATTTGTATATATTTATATATTTATATTTATATTATTTATATTTATATTTATTTATATTTTATCTGTTTTTATGTTTATTTTTTAATATCATTTTGTTAATTTTTGTTTATTAAATTGAAAATTTTTTCAATTTTTTATTTAATTCTATCGAATTATAAATTTAAAAGTTTTTTAGAACTAAAAAATATTTGTTTATTGTTTTCTTTCAATAATTTGATCAATTTATTTTATATTATAATTTATAATTTATACTGCATTTGTAATACATTTATATTTATTTATTATTTATAATCGAAATTTTGGAAAAAAAGACAAACCTTGTCCGGTTTTATATAAAAAAAATCCTTTCGATCCTTTTTTGCCAATAATTCTTTCATCATCGGCTTGTAGCACAAAAAATTTTTCACCTTCAAATTTTAGTCCGAGTCCCAATAAATTATCCTTATTGCTAAAGCTCTGACCAGCTGCCACCGCTTCGGATGCTTCTATCTTAATTTCTTTTTTCTTTTCAATTGCGAAATTTTGTTTTAATTTTAGTGAATCGTAATTAAATTATATTAATATACTATGAAAATATATATATTATTGTATAATATATTATATTATTACAAATAATTTTTCTTTTTCCAGTGGTACTCTGTGTTTCTGGTTAGGTTAACTGCTTTGCTAGAGGAATAACTTGGATGCTGAAGTAAAAATCAATCAGCAGCAACAATCGAATTTTTGAAACCTAGATCTATTTTATGTGGAACTTCAGCACATTTGTTAAGAGCATTGGTACTCTAAAATGAAACTAACAAGCCATTCTTCACTAAATTTTTGTTGTTTTTTCTAGAGCTCTCTCTTTTAGTTGGGCCTCCAAACTTGTCGAATCCGACAAATTTTGCCAGTTGAGAGTCACCTTACGATAAAAGGCACAAATGGTTAGCGAGTATCACTCACAGCATTTGTTATTTACAAATTAATATTAATAAATGATGAATAAATAGTAGAAAAATTACAAATAGTAAGTGAATTAATATGAATAATTTTTACTTAAAAAGTCTATTTAATACATATTTCTTAAGCAAAGTTTTCGAATAAATTTTAGTGAAGTTTTTAATTTTTATTTATTCAAATGAATATTTAAGAAAATACCTTAAAATTATCAGACTTTCCCCAAATCGAACCATCAAAACCACAAATCGCTGCTTTTGCTACATTACCCGAACCAATTAGGTTATTATTTATAAGATCAGCCCAAGACATTTCCTTTTTTTCTGCAAATTTCCCGTCAAAAATGTACTTTTTTTATTTTTTTTAAATTTAAAAAATTTTTACAAAAAAAGTTAAAATAAATTTATGGATTCAAAAATATTTCATATTAAATATTAAGTATTGATGGTTATTTTACATTGAATTTATTTAAATACCTTTTTTACTCGCAAAAATATTTTTTCGTCCGAAGAAATTTTATCTTTATTTCATAAAATATTTGTTTATAAGAGCAGTCATTAAGATCGCCTTGCTAGGTTATTACATAAATTTTGCCAGGCGATAGGAATATATGATGAGTCACCAGGATTTTTGAAAGGCGAATTTATCAGCGTCAAGAGGGGAACCTCAGGATCACAGTTCCGAAATAAGTGCAACAATTTCAGCACCCACTCAGCTATTCTTCTCTTCATATTATCAAAAATATTTATTATTCATATTTATTTATTCAGTGTTAATAGTGATACGTTGAAAAAAATGAAAAAATTTGAGAATTTTCACATTTTTATCGATAATTTAAGAAGATAAAATGAATATTTTTAATTTAAAAAAAAAAAAAAATGAAGAAATGAATGAAATGGAAAAAAAAAGAATAAAAGTGAAAAATGAAGGCTGAAAAATTTATAAAATTTCTTGAATTTTGGTGAACAGTTTGCAAAGAAAAAAATTTTGACATTTTTTTGAAAAAAAGATTCAAAAATAATTATGAAAATAAATAAATAATTTTTTTATCAAAAAAAGTGCGAAATGTATCGCAGATTTATATTTTCAATTCGAAAAAGTTGCAATAATTTATTTTAAATTATTTTTTAAGTATTTTTGTAAAAAATTGTTTAAAAGAGTTGTAAAAAAATAGTTTCGAAATTGCAAAAATGGCCTTTTTTAAATTTTATATTTAAAAAAATTAATAAAAATTTGTTTTAGGAAAAAAAGAAATAAAAGGAAAAAGTTTGAATGAATTTAATAAAAAAGAGATTGATAGTCGACGCTTCAACATTTAAGAGCCCAAATTTTTATTAGCTCGAGTTAATATTCCGTAGTTCGAGTTTCGATTAGTTCGAGCTCACGCTCACTAAATTTCGATTCAACCAACTGTTTTCAGGGCTATTTTAATATGAATCTTACACAGACAAAAGTTATTCCTTTCTCCACAATCACTTTTCTTTTCATTCCCAATCAATTATAACAAATGTTCATTGAGGAATACACTTGCAGTATGCCGAATTTTCTCAATTCTTATCAAACTCTATCGAACTTTTTATAAAAAAAAATTTTTTAGACAAATATCTCTAAAAATGATTTATTAAATTTTAATTGTACTATTAAAAATATATTTAATATTTAATATTAATATTAAAAGTGCAAAAACATAAGCAAATTTACAAAATGCTTTTAGAATAAATTTTAAGTTTTAAATAAATTTTTGAAATAAAACTTTTTGTTTATATAAATGAATAAGAAAATTTGGAAAAATTTTAAACCTATTATGATTTTATAAAATTCAAAAAAAATATTTGTAAAAAGAAAAAAATTGAAAGAATTTATGAGAATTTTGTAAAATAATCTTTCTAAATAAATTCTTATGGAAAAAAATTAATGCAAGAAAAAAGATTATAAAAGATTTTTTTATTAGAAATAAATTGTAAAAATGAAAAATTTTCAATTGGTCTCAATTTTTATTTCAAATTTCCTTATTTTTCTTTTTAACATTTTAATACGATTCTATCATTCTTTTTAAATTTTATTTTTAAAATCTTTTTAAATTTAAATCTATTCGAATATTTTAAAAGTAATTATGAAACTATTTAATTTTATCAATAACAGCGAATCGCTTTAAATAACCATAAATAAGCATAAATGGTTGAGGCCAAATAAAATAAGCCTAATTAGAAATAATAGAAAGAATATTGATAAATAATAATTAACAAATATTTTTATGCATTTCAATTTTTTCTATCGATTTGACAATTAAGTAATTTTCATTTTTTCGTATTGAAATTTTGATAAATGGAAAAATTTTATTTTAATATAAAAATTAAAAAACGAAGGAAAATTCGAATAAATATTTTTCTTTTTTATGAACATTTTTTATAATATTGATTAATTAAATAATCTATAAAAAAAAATTTGAAAGAATATTTAAATTTTAAATATTCATTATGACGTTATTTAATTAAATTTAACAAAAAATTTTCATTTTTATAGTCCATAAAAAATAAAAAGAAAAAGTGAAAAAATAGAAAAAATCTTAGATTTATGGATATTTAAATTTGTAAGGCGGCTGACAGGATTCATTTAAAAGGATTCACACCGTTGAAGTCCTAATATTTCACTTAAATGTTTCACTTATTTGATGGTTTAAATTATAAATACCCTTCTTAGACGTTTCGGTGGCAGAGTACTCCTTCTCTCATCCTCTGCCGGAGACTGGCAGTTTGAGGTTTCTCTACACATGTACATGGCATTCCTGCTTTTTGCTGAGGCGAATTAAACGTTAATATTCCTATTTTTCCCACTATCTAGGAAATAACGAGAGAATTTAGTGAATTTAGAGAAAGAAACAGCCAATAAAGAAGATGACAACTCGGTTGCATAGGAAAGGTCAGTCGTTTTCCAAAATCACTGTAGCGGAGGACTCATAAGGCAAGTGAGAAGTTGAAAATTGACGTTTTTTGCGGATGGGAGGGGTGAGGGGAGGGTTTTTGTTTTGTTTCAGTCATGTTTTACATTTCGCTTTTGCGCCATGTTCTTTCCTCTCCCCTCTTCCATTCTTCCTGTTTGCGTTCTTCCCTTTGCATCTTTTCAGGATAATCCTTTTATGTTTTATTTTTGTCGTTTATTCTCCTTTTTTCGTTCTTCATGCAGATATTTAAATAAAGGTTTAATTTTCCAAATTTGAGGTTCTATGATTCAACGTTCCACAAACCAGTCAATTAGTCGCAGTCATGAATTGCCGCGAAAACAAATATTTTTTGTATAAAAATATCGATGTGGCACACTTAAGAATTTATTATGGGAATCAGCTTAACGCACTAATATAAAAGTAAAAGTACCATTTTTTTCAAAGTGTCTCATTCTTGTATATGGCGCGTTGAACATCGCGAATAATAGCACAGTTGGTATATTGGATTCGAAGCCTCGTTTTTACGGAAAAATTTTGTTGAAAATTCCAACTAAAGGATTAGCCAACACGGAGGAAACAGTCGACGGTGGCGGTCTGCAGGCGAGGAACGTCCAAAATCAAGTAATTTTAAAAATTCAAATTTACTTATATTAAACAATCAATTATTATAAATTTTTTACCATCCATCATATTTTACTCTCCTTGATCCCTTTATCGATTTATGCCTTTGAGCCTCTCCAAAGTTTTCAAGCGTAATGGCTTATTAGCCGTGGAATTGAACTTTAAAAGCATAAATGGAACTTAAATAAGTAAAATAGTAGGCCAAAGTAGACATAGCGTGCGGTCTTTCTTCATTTCATGCGAAATAGAACAATTGAGAAACTTAAAGTGGAACAATAAATTAGATGTCATGTCGCAGGATTTATCAAGATTTTTAATTCACTTCAACACGAAGCATGGCGATAAGCCACTTTACGGAAAGCAAACGAAAAACGTTGGGTAAGAAAGTCGTCGTGTCTCTAGCTACTCTGCACTATTTATCAACTGATTATCATTTGTAGTACTTTTATATATATTTTTTGAATCTTCTACTGTCGGAAAAAGACGAAAGAACACTAATGATGTGAAATGTGAAATGTATTATAAATTTCAAAACACCTAAATTCGGTACAACAGATTTCGCAACTATATATAGCCTATTTTAGGGAACGGTAGAAAATTGACAAGTGAACATGTTTACTGCTTTGCTTGTCCTAGCATCGTTATACAATCTCGCTTATGGAGTTGAATCTGAATCAGTAAACGTGTGCAACGTTCAAAAGCCGGAAATGGGAGCGGCACCCAAGATCTTCGATGCCTGTCGAATATGAATTATTCAAACCTGAAAACGATGCTGCTGCGATTGAGATGGTACTAAATGAGAGTCGTATGGAGTGAGTTTCTGGGCGTTTAAAATTTTTTTCACATTATTTTACAGTCATTTCTACAAATATATTAAACGATGACTGATAAAAACTTAGATTAAGCAGAAACCGTTTCATTATTTATATCATTTTCATGGGATCTTTTATTACCTTTATTTTCTGGCGAGAAATATCAGAAAATATGAACAATAAAATTCGAATGGTAGTCTTATTGTGTTTTAGAGATAAGAATTATAAAGTTCGAAAAACAGCCCAGCATAGAATATTGACTCAATAATTGTGTGCGACGTGTTGTTTGACCAAAGAATATAGCTGAGAAAGTGGTAAAATTTGTTGTCATTTTTTCGAAATGACCAAACTGAATAAGGTGTCGGAAAAAAATGTAAAAAAATGTACTCTTGCGACCGTGAATTGAAATATTTAATTAAAAATATACGGTTTATTATAATAAATGAAAAATAGTTATTTAATAGGTTGAAGCAAAAGCGAATATATTCAAGGCGAATAGTGAAAAAGGGTGGTGAAGCAAAGTGAAGGCGATTCTTGTTATTGCCAATCCAAAATTGACAGGTTCTTCCAAAACATTGGTAGATCAAAAATTACATAAAAATTAATTTATTTTTATTCAAAAGAAAATTTTCTCGTGGTTGTTTTTTTTTGATATGCAAATAAGATAGCTTTATAAAGTAGCTAACAGATGCGCGAATAAAGAAAGAAGAAAAACAATTTTGTGATTTGCATATTGCTGACTGCTTATGATGTGGAAAACTTTGTTAAAATCTTGTTGTTTTTCCTTTTTTGAATTTTAAAAAAGCTTTGTGAATTCTTACCGTATTACTATTATTTTATTTCTTTCCTTCCGACATTTCCGACCGAGGTAAATAAGAATTAGGTGGTGGAATATGGGATTCATATTGTAAGGGAACTTGGTTAATAGTAGTTATTTCTATAAATTTATTTAGGTAACGGCTCCGTTGGATTTGCTAAAAAATTTGTTGTTGTTGGTCTTATTGCTTAGTTTGAATTTTATCACAATGGCAATAAGTATTATTGTAATTAAGAATACAATTATACTAACAATAGTCAATTTCCACTGTATAGCAAAACTTGCTAATTCTTCCCAATTAGTTCTATTGCTTTACCAATTTGAATTTCCAATAGTTCGGCAAATTCTTCATCTTGTTGGCTTATTTCTTCTCAAAAGGATTCTATGTGGTATTGATTTGATGCTGGATGTAATCCTTCATGGTTCTAAGCTAGTATTTCCAATGCTGCATTAATTTTTCAAATTCAAGTTTAGTTATTTCTTTGATAATTTTAGAATTAAATTTCTTTGATTTACATGGAATAATTAACAATTAACAATCCCTTGATTTCTTTAGCCTTCACATAATTCCTTTGTAATAATAATCTGATTCAATTAATAGCAGTAAATTGTTACGATTTTGACAACTTCTTTGATGCACTATGCTTATTTGTCGTTGGAAATTTTGCTGTAAATTATCAAAAAGATATTGAAATTTCGTATTCTCTGAATCGAATTTGTCTCCTTTATTCGTTTCCATTAATAATAACTTATCTAACTTTATAGCTGGTAAAAAATTTTTAATCCTTCGATTTCTCAGTTTAGACGAATTTGGTCCCATATCCATGATAATATCGCCATCCATGCGATAAGGTTTAGTGAAGTTACTTTGCTTATAATTGTCTTAGTGTTATTACTGAAAATAAGTGAAGTTTGAAGTTCACTTTTGATTATATGGCTTCCATGCATCATATACACCAATCCTTTTGTATGGACAATTCTTTGATATTTCATATTCCATAAGATAATATTATTGTTGGTAACACATTTTCCGATTTGAGTAATGCAGTATTCAGCACGATCAAGATCGGATAACATACCTTTTCCATCATAAATTAATTATCCTTCAGTGACTGCAACATTTGATGTAGTTTGACATCTCTGCGATGATGTGGTTGTTTGGTCTGAGACTACAGATAAAGGTAGCCTAAAAAGGCTTTATTACATACCACTCGCGTAATATTATTGCATCGCATTGCTGGAATTCTCATATGAGATCTAGCATATACAACTATTTTGGCCAACGTGAGATTTTGTTGCAGTATTTCTTCACAATTCCATCTACTAGGAAGATTGAAAGGAAAGAAGTTATCATTTTGCAAGTTTTCTTTATAATATGACTATTTGCTTGAACTTGTAGCAATATAGCTATCATTAATAACAAGCCTTGAATTGATAAGGTTAATATGTTCACTTTAGACATCCTTTTCGTCGACGCTCGAGTACGCATCGAGTATGCAGTTGATTCTTGTATTTCGAATTTCTTTCTTGTTGATTTCAAATTAGAATTTTCTAAAGTTTTTTCCACTTTCTGATTCAATTCCATCGTTAATTTCGAGTGGATAAAATACACTTATCGAACTTTTTAGTATTTTACCATTTGGTAATTCTATTGTAGCGGTCCGCACTTTCTCATCCTTTCCTTTATGATGTTCCTTTATTCTGGATAACTTTCACATACTTCGTGGTGTTCCATGTTCACTGAGTATAATTATCTCATTTTTGCGTGGAGATCTAATTTCTACATTCTTAGAGGAAGGAAATTCTCTTTGAGTACGTTTTCTAAGACTAATTAAGTACTCTGATTTCCTTATTTCCCAGAATACATCCAAGGTCTTAAGGCTATTTAACCAATATTTAATAAGCTTGTCTCTAGTACTTAGTTTATATGGGAAAAATTTTTCATCGTATGTTATCGTCTTCAATAGGTAAGGTTAATGACGCGTTAGGTGAAATAAAATTAGCAGGAGGTACGACTGAATAGTCATCAAAGTTTATATAGGTTAATGGACGAGTGTTAAGTATACTTTCTATTTCAACTGTCAAAATTATTAATTCCTTTTCGCATAGAAGTTTTCTACCCATGGCCCTTTTCCTTGCTTGCTTTGTTGCTTTCTTTCATAAACGCCTCCTTCCCGTGGTGTTCTAGGAGTTATAGATTTCCAATTTATTCTCCTTGTTTGTGCTTGTCTGAGTAGCATTCATCGAGTTGTACCTTCTTGTTGCTAGGAAATTGGTATTCTGTTCCATGATAGTTTTAAAAAATAGTTGAAACTGAGCAGCATTATTACTTAAAATTAATTTGGGACATCTTCGTCAAGAAATAAATCTTCTAAATATAAGTAAGGCTTCATCAGAGAGATTTTTTATTATTTCTAGATGAACCATTCTAGTGGTAAAACATGTGAAAAGAGCAATCCATCGTTTTCCAGAACCATTTTCCAGTTTTATAGTGACAGGACCTAAGTAATCCAATCCAATTGATTCGAATGTTTTTGAACGTTGAACTCGTGATTGTGGCAGGTCTGCCATAGCAGATAGTTTGAATGGTTTGGAACTCCAATGTTTACAGGCCATACATTGATTTAAAACACGTTTGACCTCTGTTCTACCCTTTGGAATCCAATATGCATTTCTCATTGTTGATAGCTATAAGCGATACCATTATTATATAAATTTTCATCATAGCACATTATATTGTACAACAAGGGGTTCCGCGATTCCGAGCAACAAATAATTATGGAAATAGTCAAATAGTTGTGGTGGTGTACGTCGAACAGTAATAACGTAGTAATTATTGTAAAATAGTTTCATAAATTATTATATGAATATTATAATCATCAATTTCCGACTTTTAATAAAGAAATTCGTTAAAAAATTTGTTAAGCAAACTTTTAACAATAATTATTAGTCTTTATTGAAATGAACGCTTAATTTTGGGCTCTCACCTTTAAATTTGCCTCCAAACAAACTCCCATTGAAACCTCACACCGCATTAAGTACAACTCTTGCATATTTTTTGCACAAAAAAGCCGACATCGAGTCTGGGGCCGAAGCTGGTTGTTAGTAGATTAGCCGCAAAGTGAAAAACGCAGAGTAAAATTTGATAAAAAAGCGGTCGCGGGACTTTTTAAAAGGACGTATGCGATTACAGTCGTTTTTGCAGATCGTTTTACAATTTTTGTATTTGAACTGATTTAACTAAGAAATAAAATTTATTCAAAAGACTTAAAATGCTTAAATTTTCATTGAATTCATTAAGAAATCTATTAAAAATTATAGGGAAAATGATTCAAAAAATTATTAATAAATAATAAAATTAAATAATAAAAAATTACAATAAAATTTAATTTTTGGATAATTCACTTATTTAAGAATTGTTTTTGAATTTCTCCTTTTATTTATATTTATTTTTATTTTTGAATTTATTTGATTCTCTAATTTTGTTTATTTTATTTTAATTTAAGTAATTTCTATTATTTGCGTGAAAATATTCTTTCTTGCGCTTTTGCTCTTTCTGTAAACACTTTTGCACTTTTTTTTTCAGAACGAAATTTCCTTATTTCTTTCGTTTTTTTCCAATTTTCTCGATTTTTGTTCCAAAAAATCGGTTCATTTAAATAGATTTTATTTATTTATTTAATTTTATAATTTTTTTGTAGAAAATTTATCGGATGAAAAATATGAAATAAAAATATTTCAGTAAAAAATAATGAGAACCGTTGGTTCATTTTTATTCTTTTAAAAAATTTTATAAATATTTCTAATATTTCGAAAATTATTTGTGCTTTTCGGATCACTTTTTCAGCATATTTTATTTATTTATTTGTTTATTCGTTGAACTAACGTGGAATTTAAGTTGTAAAATTGAGTTTTATTTTATAATTAGGGTTGCTATTGGCCGAGTGCAAAGCACTTTGTAGAGTCTCTTCAATTAATTTACTTAATGATTTCTGGTATACATAGAGGAATAACAGGTTGTATTATATTTAAGAAGGTATCGAACGAATGTTTTCTATATTTTGACGAGAAAGTTCTCGTTCTATTTTTGATATTCTTTACTGTGGTTCTGTAATGTAGGTCGAAGTCAAGGTTTTCATGCAGAACGATTTTGTTTTTTATGCTAAGATTTAAAATATTCGACACGCGTCTTATCATTATACTATTATCATTATACTAGATTAGCCGATTATATCATAAATTGTCGTCATAAGAATCAGTATTTACTTGACTGGCATCAGTATCTCTGACTGGCATGAATATTTCATAAAAATCGCGAAAGTTTACGTACCAGCTTGCATTCTTGTCGCTAAATTCTCTCTGGGATAGAAAGTGAGGCAGAGAGAGGGAGACTAACCAGAACTGTTGAATGCTAACCGCTTGCTTTATTTGCCTAATACGATTACACCCATAGAACTATCATTCTTGACGTTCGAAACCCACCAATCATCTAATTTCCACAAATGAGACTAATTTTGTCTTGGAAAATATCAACATTGAAATAAACGAAAACAGAGCGGATATTTTAAGTCATTTTCTAACAAAAATTGAAAGAAAGAAAAATACCAATCAAAAATTAAGAAAATTTTAAGGCCAATCTAAGGTAGAATTTCTTTTTTAGTTTAGAATTTACCTTGTTTTAAATCAGAAAAACAGCATAGCCATAATAATAATTCACTAAATAGATTTTTAGCCTTTTTGCTATATTAAAATTCATTTACATATTTGAAGAAATTAGTGGTACTCAAGAATTATGAAAGAAAAGAGTTGAGGTATTTAAAATATCTTTGTACAAAATCTCTAAATCTTCTGTACAGGGTTTTTTTCTTTTTTGATATTTAGATTTCAAACACGAAGAAAAACTGACGAAGAGAGCTGAATACGGTCCTTCTATTTTGGATTTTAATAATTAAATTTTTAGAGGCTATGAGAATGTTTCGAACAACGCTAATGATAAAGCATGATAATAATAGTGATATAAAGTATAAGAGAGAAATCAGATTTAAATTATTCTGGACAAATTCGATAGGGAAAATATTTACCATAAAGGAAAATTTAATAGTTCGAGTAATTTATCGAGAATATCGAGAGAGAATATAGCAAAGGAATATGAGAAATTTTAGTGGTCCGAATAAATTTTTTAGAACAGAGTTTTTCGAAAACAATTAGAGAAAATGGTCCAAATTATTAAATAGAAAAAATCGTACAAGAGGAATGAAAAAAATTTTGAACGTTTAAGTAAATTTTATAGAGAATTTTTCGAGAGAAATTAGAGAGAATTTAATGGTCTAAGTTATTAGAAAAAATTTTATAAGAGGAATAAGAGAAAATTTGGTCGCCCGAGTATGAATTTGGTTAAAATATTCAGTGAGAATATTCAGGACAATAAAATTTCCTATACTTCTATATTTCTATAGTTTTCAGTAAAAAGTTTCTTGTTTCTGAAAAAATAAAAATATATGAACATCCTTAAAAATTTTAGGTTTTTTTCCTAATATAATTAATGAACTAATATATAATATATTTTAATATTTTTAAATGTAGTACCTCGAATTTAGCAAATGATACATATAATTGTAAGCCGTTGATTGTAATTTTTTAATTTGTAAATATATTGGTATAATATTGGTAAATATATTTTATTATTAATATTAATATTATTAATTCAACTCTAAGTTATATTATTAATTAATATTATTAATTCATCTCTAAGTTAATATTAATATTAATATTATTAATATTATTAATTCAACTCTAAGTTTCTCATAATTTTTAGCACTTTTTTCAAATCAACTCATATACATTTTTTTTGGAAGTAAACATAAAATTCTCGGGCAATTATTTGAAATTATTTTTCAGCCAATATAGATTGTCGCATCCTAGTTTGTTTATTAGAGGAAATGAGGGATTTTTTTTGTTTCTGAGTTTCTTATTTCATATTTAAATTTAGTTGTTATTATTGTTAAATTTGATTTATTTTTTTTAAAGATTGGTGCTATGAAACAAAGAAGACGACAGATCAATAAAACGATTACATTATATCCCCGGGCCGTCCTAGTATTAAGCGAGCCCAACGTCGCTTAACTTTACAGATTATAAGATCTTCTAAAATTTTATAAGATATTTCTGAATTAATGAGTTTGATAAGAAAAATCAGACATTACACTTGCAAAATCAAGTAGTCCTAAAAGAAATCAAATAGTCTATTTCAAAACAATGGTTCTAAATTCACTTGACTGACTAAAGAAATTGCTTGATTCGAGGACAATAATTTTTTCTACACCACTCAACGTTTCTGTTTTGGTTAGCTCCGCTGACTACAAGGATACCAAAAAATACCCTACCCCCTTCCCCCTCTACCCTCTTTTATTTTATTGTGCTTAATGGATTAATTGTGTTTAATTAATTAATTAATTTAATTATTAAATTAATTTAATTACTAAATTAATTTAATTTAATATAAATAAGATATAAATTTAATTTAATGTAAATTGCAGTGCATAATGGAGTACGTGGTATTGGTCCATTGTTAAAAGTACCATGGATTTTAACAATATTTTTCGTTTTAATTGGTGTATTATGGAACATTGTTGGAATAATTGGTCTTCATTAATAGCGTAATGGAAAATCGAAATTAGTGATTAGTTCAAAAGGATTTTGTTTGCGTATGGAGATCACTCACTGGTTAAGTTTTTCGCTTTCGTCGATTTTAAAATTTTTTTATAAAGAATGCCTGCAATTTTTAATTGGAATAGCTCTGTTAGCTTATTTAACCAGATAAATTTTGCTAGAGGAGTCGCTTGATGGAAGTGCAGATGAGCCTTCAACATTATCTAAATTTTTGAAAAACAAGTTTACTCCATATGAGAGTAGAAATTTCAGAATTGGCGCTCCACAAATGAGAATAATAACCCACTGTTTTAAAAAGTTTTAAAGGCATAAATTTATTACAGTAGCAGATCACATAATTCTGTAATCCTTATTCGAACCGTTTACAATGTCCACTGTCCACTGAAGTCGACTTCCATCTCATTTTTGTCTTCATCCATACCGAAAAAAGTCGTTTTTGATTAACCAGCACTGGCGATTTTTATCCTTTTCATAGTGCCACTGCCACAGTTAATCTCTGTATGTAGCAAAAATATGACTTTAGGAATTGGTGCTATAGATAAAGACAAAGTGAAAGGAAATTGCGAAGTTGTAAAGTTTCTATATCAATTGCTTTGAAAAGAAGCTATCTGGTTACATCAATAAAAATAAAGATAAAAGATTTCAGAAATGTAGGAATCGGCATGTAAATCCATTACTGAATCTTCCTTAAATGTTCCATCAGAGAAACCGATATAATTCTCCGACGAATTTTTTCAATATGTATTCATGGAATCGTATTGGCTTAAACGAGAGGAGAAGTTTACGAGAATAGTTGTTGCCCTGCTTGGCTGGTTATCAATAGATAAACAAAATTATATAATACCGAAAAAAGTTTTTATTATTTGATAAGCTGTAGAAAGCTGAGAAAATTGTCCCGTAAGCAACCACAGAAGTCCAAATCAGTCAATGTTAACCTCTGAGATGCATTAACTTTGTCCTCAATATGTGGAACTAATATCCAAATTTTGAAATGAATAATGAAATTTGAAATGAAAATGAAATGAATGAAATGAAAAATTAATTTTTATTTCCGCTCGTAAAGTGCACATTTCTTTTTCGACTTTTCATGATTTTAAACCTGTTTATATGAATCAAAAAGCAAATCAAAATTGACACTGGATTTGGTTTTTAGCTACAGGCGAATTCATATCTCCTGAGCTCATTGTTATTTATTTCCGCAGAAAGTTCAAACTGAAAAATTTTGCTAAAGGATTTAATTCGATTTCTTTGATTAATGCATAATTTCAGTATGCAAAATCCAATTTTTTTCTTCCAAAATTAGTTCCACTATTGGGCTATTGGTCCAAGAACATTACCCAATTTCTGCAAGAACATTATAATCTGCCAAATAATTATGTATATAACATGTATGTTTGAATTATACAATAAGAAGTCCATAAATTTTCCTATTAAAAACATTTTAAAAGGACATTTTTTATATTTTTATAGAGTTAAAAACATTTTAACTATAAAAATATAAAAAATAAACGTAATGAAGTTAACGCTTCAGGTAATGTTTGAATTATTTTCACATTTATTAATGATTGGTTGAAAAAATTCATCGAAATGATAAATAAATAATAATAAATAATAAATGATATTAAAGAATATAAAAAAAATTTTTTTTTCAATAAATTCAGTGAAAAAAGGAATATTTTTACAATTTTGTTTTTATAATATTTGAAGATAAGTAATATTCTAGAAAATCTAAAAATTAATTTGTATTAATCGAATTTTGGCTCAAAAAAAACGAGAATTGTTTTTGTTAGTTGCGATAAATGAAATATTATAAATTGGCAAAAGTTTCAGGCAAGCATAATAAAAATATTACGACAACTTAATAAATTCAATGATTGCGATATAAATACTTCTAGCGGTCTATAAAGCATTCATGGTTCACTTCCGTCATTTCCATTTCCTCCGTATTTTCCTTTTACTCAGTACAAATCGGTCATACTTCTTCAGTGCGAATGATGTCCTTGCTGTAGATCCTGCATATTGTTCTTCTAACAATTCTCACCGTTACTGATTATGCTTGCCCTTGAATACTGCCAAAAAAAGAGTTTTTTGAGAATTTGCAAGCTGATCAATAAAATTTTCAAAAATGCACCGTCGTTATTTTGTCATTTTTGATTTTAGGTCTCAGCTATTTTGTCGCTTTTGATTTCCGATTTCGCTATTATGTCGCTATATTTAAAAGGTGGTAGTTTTATAATGCATTGCTCATTTATTCGATAGTAGTACTTTGCTGAACCATGTGAATACGCCTTACTAATACGTCTATCACGAGAAATCTGAAATACCACTGGTAAAACAGATGCTTCGTTTTCCATACCATTTTCAAATTTTCTTCGTTTCTTATGATTTTAAACTTGTTTTTGTGAATACATATTAAACAAAAATCAGCAAATTAAATAAAAATCAACACCGAGATTAGATTTCTAGCCGCAGGCATGTCGCTTGAGCTTAATTGCATTTTTTTCGAAGAAGATTCAAAGTTAAAAATTGTGCTAAGGGATTTAGTCGAATTTCTTTGATTAATGCATGATTCAATGGCTGCGCAAATGGCCTATAGAAACCAAAGGAAAAACTCTCCCAGCTCTCTGTCGGGCTAAATAAGATCAGTTGTCTTCCAAAGTTATTGTCAATTTGCGCTTCGTTTGCTGAGGTTGCTGAGGGAGTTTGGCAAGGAGAAGGGTGGTGGCAACGTTTTGAAGCGAAAAAAACTTATGAGAGGTAAGAGGTGTGCTTTTTTGCGTGTCGTTCACTTCGCTTTCTGTTGTCTCATTAAAAAATTTTTGCCATCGAACGACCGCGGCTCATCCAATTATTTCTCATGTTCCATACGAATTATTTGTGAATTTATGAATTAAATCTGATTTATAAATAGCCGCTATTTTCCATCTTTGCTTATTTTTTCTCCCTAATAATATAATTATTTTTAATAATAATATTTATTATTTATTATTATTATTAATAATATTTGCGTGATTTATGCAATATTTATTTGTTATATTTGCCGTTTGTTTTTTCGTTTTTGCATTTTGTTTTTCTCATTTGTAAATATTTTCCTTAACAAGGTTTATTCAAGTTTGAGATTTCATTATTTACTTCTCAGAATAAATTACCAATAAATTGACGCAGTTCGAAACCTCCGCCACAACAAATTTTTGTTCATAAAAAATGAAATTTGCATTTGCATGGCAAACATTTATTATAGAAGGCAACGACATTAAATATGGATATTTCAGGGAAGGCAAATTTTTCCTGATTCTCCTACAGTGACGCACGCGCTTTCATATTTTTATCCAAAGGAAAGTAATTGAAGATTTACCACAACGGGTTTTGTATACTTCGCTTGCCAAATAATATAAAAAATAAATAATAAAAATTTAAAAAAATAAAATGTATGTAATTTCCTTGCAACAATTTTTGCAAATTTTCAAGGATTCAAATTTTTAATGTAAATATTTCAATACAGTAATCGAATGCTGCGGTCCACTGCTTCTCAGGTTTTGCAAATAGCGAGACTTTCAGGATTTGTTTAAATCACTGCATGAATGAAAGTTCCAGCAGAACCATAGTGGTCCAGCAGAATAGCCTTTGAGCTTATTGATTTTCTTCTCTGATTTACCTTCAGGAATATTGCATTTTAAAGGAATTTGAAAATCCAAAGAGACATTACAGCTGGATTTTACCATTTGTGCATTTACTCCGTCTGCGCTGTTCACCAACCATTTAATCGCTATCACAGCCATTTAATTGCTAATAGATTTGTTCAAGTGGATTTTTAAAAATTTCGCAAATTTTTTGAATCATTGTCCCTGTAAAGAAATCAATTAAGCGCAGTTTCATTCAGTATTTTCCCTATATTTCTTTTAAAGTCAACTAAAGAGTGGCATAAAATGCTTCAGTTCTTGCGAAGAGTAGCGAACATGGCTTAACCAGCATCGGTGAAGTACATCAGTTATTATCTTCATCTTGTCCCGCAAATTTTTTATTATCATTATTATCATTGTTTGATTTTTTTTCACTTTTGCTTAAAAATTGTTGTTTAACAATAATAAATAGCAACTTAAAATGATTCGATTGATCAAAAAGTGCATTTATCAAAATTATCAACAATAAACGTTAAAAAATTGTAAAATATTAATTTTTGGGAAAGTATGAAATGGCTTTCATGAAATGAAACATTCGTTATCATTTCGTTTTTCTTATCTATGTACTTCCATTGGATCCATTTTATTAACTCCTACTAACCTTTTGTTCAGTTTTCTGTACAATTTTATTCCTTTCTTTATCCTGCTGTAATTAAAAATATATTTAATTATTAGTAATAATAACATTAATAATATCGATAACAGTAGTTTTTTTCCTATAATAATCACCATTTTTTATAGGCTTTATAGGTTAGAAAGAAACTCTGTTAGAAAGAAAAACAATTAGGTATTAGAGTGAAATAAGCAAACCAGAGCCATTTGGGTTATTCTACCTCAATTTTTAAGGAATTTTAAGAAATCATGGATACTTACGTTTTCGTTATTAAGTCGAATTTCGACACCAGTTCCTACTTCATAAGCTTCATTAAGTGCATCATCAAATGTAACATGCCCGGATTCCAAACTTGATGGATCTTCACTTTCTAATTCATGTCGCTGAAATTTTCAATAGGCTCTTCAGTACATTTGTTACTTACACATTATTCAGATTTCAGCCAATTTAGTTAAAAGGAGAATTAAGAAATTAAAATTGGTTCTTTTTTTGAACAAAGCCAGTCAAAAACTTTAGAATAATCATTTTTAACGATTCTCCATCTTCCACTAGAACATATCATTTCCACTAGAACATATCAGTTTGCCAGGATCATAGACATTGAGTCACCTCACCACAGATTTGCTTTGATAAGAGGAGTACATGTAAGTCTCAAGCAGTCAGTTAATTTTCATTCATAATAAAAATAATCAACTTAGCCATGCGTTACTTGCCCATATGCGACTCGATTAGCAATATTTCTTGATTTTCGGTTTTAAAAAAGCCAAATTTTAATAATTTCTTGTTATAATTTTACTTAAAAATTGTATTTAGCAAAATAAGCGATTAATTACATATAAACATAAAAAGAAATTCGGTAAGAGAATAATGAAAACATTTTATTGCACTTTGATCACCCTTTCCCCCCCCCCCCCCCCTCCCTCCCCCTCCATTGATACTACAAAATCCGTGGACTAACATCTCGAATTTTCAAATCTTGAAGCTTGAAAGTATTTATCAAATTTTCTTAAAAGTTTTGAATGAAGCTAATAAACTGCATTTAATAGATAATAAAAACGACTAATTACCGAGCCAACAAAATAAAAATATAATACAAAAATATAATACAAAAAAAAAATACAATATTCGAATTAGAATCTGATGTACTCTTGGAAGTCACCATGAGCACGAGGGATCCGTAGGGATCAGTTTGAAGAGTATAATTTTTTGAGAATCGATCGCAAATATTTTAATTGAATAATAATTTTAAAAAAAGGGTAATATAAAAAATATATTTAAAAAAATGAAAAAATGTTGATAAAATTGGAAAATTAGAAATAATTAGAAATAAAATTAGGAATAATTACCACAGTAGAATCTTGCTTTGCGCGAATTACAAGTGGTCCTTTATAGGTGAATTGCTTTGAAGAAATACGTTCAGGCAACCAATTAGTGGTAACCGAATCTTGCGGTGCCTTTGACTTTTCCGCCAAATGTGAGGGACTAGTCGTCGATAAAACGGTTTTTTTCTTCTTTCCTAAGATATAATATGATAAAATATGATAAATACAAAAATATGATAAATTAATATGATAAAATATGATAATCATATTATTTCATAATATCATATTATTTAATTTTTTACATGTAAATATGATAAATTTTCAATTAAAACATGATAAACAGACATGGCAAATTAAATACAAAAAAAGCAACCTTTTTTATCAGTCATTTTTGTCAGTCATTTGATATAAATTCATTAAATATTATAAATATTATGAAAATATAAAAAGTTTAGATTCAAATTAAATTAATAATTATTAATTATTTAATAATTAATTAATTAATTACGATTAAAAATTATAAATATAAGAATTTCTAAAGTGAAAGTAAAGTTAAAATTGTATTAGTAGTCATCAGCAATTATTAAATAATTTGCTAAAAAAATAAAAAAAAAAAAATTTAATGATTTAATAAATTTAAAACAACAAAAAAGAAATTAAGAATATAAAATATAAAAATTGAAAATATCGTAAAAATTTTCAATGATTTAAAATTGATTGAAAATTAAAAACGTAAAAAATAAAATAAAAATATAAATACAAAAAATAAAAATAAAAGGATTTTCTAGCTCTAATTCTTACCATCGGCAGCAATTTTTTTCTTTTTACAACACCAAGTATATATTAAAATTATAAAAAATATCTGTAAAATATTGGTACTCATTGAGATTAACACAACCAACATAGTCTGTCGAAACATTAAATTGCTGAAATATTTTTAAAAATTTTTTTTTCTCGATTAATTTAATTTGAAATGAAAGGTTTTTTGTTATATATCGATAATTAATTTGAATTATTTGATTATTATTTAATTTTTAAAAAAATATCTAATTAAAATTAAATTTAAACTAATTTAAACTAATTAAAAAAATACGATTGAAGTTATTAATCACGACATTTCTCAAAAATATTCCCCTATATGTTGTTATCAATCATTATCATTAGTCATGCTTTATATTATTAAATATTAAACTTACTCACCCAAATGATAACATCGTTTCTGTAGTAGTTGTTATGTTCCTTGGTGTTGCTGGTGCTGTTGCCACTGTTACTGTAGTAGTAGTTTTTGTCGTTATTTTGACCGTTGTTGGTGCTCCAATTGGAATCACTGTTTTTATTATAGTTGTAGTCGATGTCGTTGCGGTCAATGTTGTTGGTATTATTGGTGCCATAGCCATTTTCGTCGTTGATATTGTCGTTGCTACTGTTGTTGCTCTTGTAATTAGCGTAGATGCTGTAATCGTTGTTGTCTTTATAGTCGTAGCTACGGTCGTCAGTGTTGTTGTTACCACCATCGGTGTTACCACCGTCGTCGATGTTACTGTTGTTGTTATCATCGTCGTTAATGTTATTATTGATGTTATTGTTACTGTGGTTGTTGTTGTCAACAATGTTAGTGTTACTGACGCCAGTGTCGTTGGTGTTGTTATTCTTGTATCTATCACTAATGTCACTGTTGTTATCACTGTCGTTGCTACTGTCTTTGTTGTCGTTGAAGTTGCTGCTGTTATCTTCATCAGTGTCATTGTTGGTGGTGTTGTCACTGCCGTTGATGTTGCTGTCGCCATCGTCATTGGTACTATTGTCGTTGCAGTTGTCCTTGATGTTGTAATTATTCTTGTCATCGTTATCGGTGTTCTTGCGGCCAGCGCCGTCGATGTTATTGTTATCGTTGTCACTGTCATTAATGTTGCCGTTGTTATTGTTGTCATTGTCGCTATCACTGGCGTCGATGCTGTTGTTGGCATCGTGATTGGTATTGTTGTTATTGTTGTTATTAGGGTTGCCGTCGTTGGTGTTATCGTAGTTGCCACCATCGTCGGTAATGTTACTGTCGTTAATATTAATGCTGTTTCTGGCGTCGTCGTCGGCGGTATTACAGTTGTTATTGCTACTGTCGTTAATATTGCTGCTATTCCTGTCGTCATTGGTATTGTAGTTATTATTGTTCTTCTTGTTGATGTTGCTGTTGTTGTTGTTGGTGATTTTATCATTGTCGTTGTCGATGTCGTTGTTGTAATTGCTATTACCATCATTGGCATTATTGGCGTTGTCACTGAAATTACCGTTGCTGTTGGCCTCATCACTGTTATATTTGTTACCGTCACCGGTGTCACTGTTGTAATCACCATCGTCAGTGTCGGTGTTGCTATTACTGTTGTTACCATTGTTGTTATTGCAGTTGTTAATATTGTTTCTGGCGATATTGTCGCCGTTACTGTTGCTAGTGTTACTGTTGACATCATAGCTACCGCCCTCTTCGACCTTATCGTTTCAACTCCTCTTACTAGTTTTTCTTTGATTGCTCTATTTCTTGTTCTTTTCGTTATAATGCTGGCTATTTGCCTTATCAACTGGATTTTAGATTCATTCTGACCATATAGAATATTTGCCGTTGTTGTTCGATTTTGCAATGATGAACTGCCATCAAGCATGGGCAACTTGAGGGCAAATCTTGGATATCGTTCTTCAATACTTTTTCCGATGTTCCTATCGAATCTTGAAGAATTCACCGCCTTTTTTAAAAATAACTCTATTTCAGCTGAATTTTTTTGAACACTTCCAGGTCGAATAAACAAATCCGCGTCACCGACATTTTTAAAATTCATAGGAAGAAAAACTGGTAAAATGCCGGCATAATTTATCGATTCTGTGATCTTTTTAACTCCATTCCTATCGTTTTCAAGCAATTGTTGTTTTCTCTTATCAAAAGAACTACGATATTCCTGAAGATATTTATTAATAAATGCATAGATTTCCGATCCGTAAAGTTTTTTTCAATTAAAATATCGATTACTTTTCTTAGCGAATACAAATTAATTAATTAATTTTATGTTAAATAAATTTATTTTATGTTCCTTTCGAGGAAGATGCCGATTAGATGGAAAAAAGAATTGGCTATAATTTCATGCTGATCGACAGACTTCGAAAACCGATAGCAGAGCCAACCAACAATTAGAAGAATCTGAAGTGGGACATAAAAGACTGATAAAATGTTTCTTATCAGTATCAGTAATTAATGGTAATTAATTATTTCTTATCAGTAATGGTTTTGAAAAAAAATTAATACCTTATTAAAAGACTGAAAAAATTGAAGCAAAAATATTAAGAAAATAGAAACAATAATTGTAATCTTAATAAATCCCATTCATTTGTCATTACATAATCATTAATATAAGCAAATACAATGGAAAACTCCGATAAAAAATTCTTTACGACGACTGCTTTTCTTTATTTATTAAATTAAAATAAAATTTATCAATATTAAATCAAAAATTTTTATATTCAAATTTTTATTTCCATGTTAAATATTTCTACGAATTAAAAAAAAAGTCCTTAATTCATGCCTAATTTTTGCATATTTATGTTTAATTATGAATTAATCTTATTTTTATTTATTTGTTTAATTAAATTTCATTCTATATTTTTGCATTTCTTCAAATATACAGTCATTATTTATCAATATCACTTATCATTCCACATTATTCTTTGCAATTACTCTCGTGTTTTCAAAATATAAATTAGTGTTTTTAATCAGTTTATTATGAAAATATAATAAAACTATGTATTCTTCTTAAAAAGAACTAAATGACATATATATTTAAATGAAAAATTATTACCTTATATTTATAAAAAATTATATGGATCTATAGTCCTCTAATAACAACCTCGTTCAGTTTGCACTTGTTAAAAAATTAATTAAATTCAGTCATTTATTACAACATAAACAAATGAATTTTTCGCTAGCTACCAATTTGCTGTCGTATTCTAAAATAACTTCGCCTTTCTAGAACTGATCTCCTCCATGAAACAAAAGAATAACTGAATATGGTCATTCCTGATGAAAAGATTGTAAATAAGAATAAATTCTTATTAATATGCTCTATTTTTGTATAGCATGGCTTGTAACCAAGTTTTCTGCTTGAGGTACAATTTAATTTGTCGTAATAACCAGTAGCTTCGCAATATGCTGAAAATTATAAAATAAAATATATGAAATATGCATATACAAGATTTTAAAAAAAAATCTTTAAGTTGGAATAACTTTGCTTGATTACATAAGACTAAACAAGTTCTTCAATGAATCTTACAGGAACGACAAGATATTCTAATTCACACAGTTTTTTGCATTATTTTAATAAAAATTCGTTAAAATCAAAAAACTGATTTGTTTTCATTTATTTCTATAATTTTCTATTTCATTGTTAAACAAACTGAATTATAGACCGAATTTGCAAAAATAAGGAAATAACAATATAAAATGCATAACAGAATGAACGACGAAATCTGCAGTCATAATTATTAAAAGAATTTCTTCGTTAATTACCAATTAAAATCTTCAAAACGAATTATGAATCTTCAAAATGAAAAACTAACGAGTTTTTAATGCTTTTATTTCGAAAGCAGAACATGGAATACATTCTTGTATTAAAACGAATTTCTCCCTTTCAAAACATAAATATTCATTCAAAAATTTTGTAGACTGAATATCAACTGCAGTTGATGTCACCTTAATACAATTTCAGAGAAAATTAGTTCAAAAAAAGAAAAAATTGGAGAAATCCATATTCAGCAACTTAATGGAAAATAAAAAAATTAAGGAACAGTTGTAATAATTAAGGAATAATAAAATGATCTATTAATTTATGGAATTTATAGATCTTAAGAAATGAAAAAATTTAAAAAAAGCTAAAAATTATTTTTTATCATCAAATTATCAAATTTACCGAATTTAAATCAATTTGATGCTGTTGTTCAACTGTTTTATTAAAAATATTCCAATGAATAAATCTCTTCAATACTGTTTCACCATCCAATACTTTTTCTTCAATATAATTCTCCATGAAAAAAACCAGTAGAGAAAATCTAAAAAAATTATCCAAGAAAATTTTAAAAAATTTAATAAAAATAGAAACAATAATAATATGATTATGATGAAAATAGTTTAAGGTGTTTAAAGTGTTCTAATAAATTAGTATTAATAATAGATTGAATAATTTTTAAAATTTATTTAAGATGTATAAATTTATTTAAGATGTATTTAAGATGTATAAAAGTTAAGTGATAAATGATAGTGATAAGCAATAATCTATTAACATTTCATTCAACTTAAACAACCACTTTTATATTTCATTCAAATCTATCTTATAATCCATAGAGTTAAAGTTTTCCTGGTAAAATTCTTAAATAATTTCCAGACGGTTTCATATAGGCAATTGGTTTCCAATTGTTTATTTTTACCGGAAAGAGGATTCGATCTCCAACGCTTAGGGTGAATAATCATGTAAACATCAATGCCTCTTTCACATGTCTCTTCGATTACTTTCTTGGAAATATCATTCGAACTAATCATATTCAAGCGGGAAATCCCTTGGCAAATAGTGCTTAAAAGTACTGAGGCAAAAAAGATAAAAAAGAAAGGGAAAAGCAAAATCATTTCCAGTATCCATTTGGTAAAAGAAAAAAAAATGAGAAATCAGTAAGATTTGAAAGATTGAAAGTTTAATCTTGCCAACAACACAGCACCCCGAAATGAGAACAAAAGCTGTAAGTCATTTTATTCCTTGCATAACCATATATAAGGAAGAAATCTAAAATAATGGACAGCCAAATATGAAAAGGAGCAAAAACGATCATCTTAATGTCTATTAATCCTAATAATCACCAAATCAGAAATTGAAATTGCTTAAAAAATACAAAAAAAGAACAAGAAAAAAGTTGTTTTTATTTTCACTTTCGGTAAATGAAAGGAAAAATTAAAGAAAACTTACGAGATAAAAATGAAAATATAAAATATCATCCATCGAAATGTGCAATATTCAATCATGTCATTGAATTTTTCTTAGTAATATTTCACACCTAAAATATTATGATATGATTAGAAATATTAAATTAAGGAACAAATTTCCTTTTTTTCTAAGAACAATCATCATTTCCGGCTGGGTTTCCTCCGTTTATTTGTCAGATCGAATAAAATTTGCCAATAGTCATCTGACTATATAAATAGACAATATTTTCATCAGAATTTTCGAAAGGCAGGTTTACTTGTACTCGGAACCCTAACCATCGGCATTCCGCATCGTAATATATTTATGAATAAAACTAAGGAGAAACGAAAATTTTAGGACAATGAGATGAAATATGAATACATTATTTGAAATTATAAGATTTACATAATTTCGCTTTCGTTTTTCCGCCCTTTTTTCCCTTCTTGGATCGAATATTTTCGTTCTTAGGTCGAATTATATGAACACTTTTTGAGAAGAAAAATAATGAATAAAGATATTGCAGAACTCTGAACTAGCTAGCGAAATCACGGATTTCTAAAAAAATAAATGTGAGAATAAGGATTTCAATTCAGCTTCAATAGAAAATAAGAGTGATAACCATAACTAAATAGTGCTTGCCAAACCCCTTTACCCCTTTCCCTTTATGTTGCCAATTGTATCTAATTCCTTATCGTCCCATTCCCATTCATTATTGTATGGTTAAGCAAAACCTATCACAGTCCAAATTTGTATAAAACTCTAACCGTAATTATTATCAATATTAATTAATGAACTTAGAAGCTCACTGAAATGGTTAGAAAAATTATAGAACCGAAAAAAAATGAAACCGAGTGCAATAAACTGAGATTTAAGAAAAAGAGAGCTTTGAAGAAACTATACGAGATGGAAAAATGGGGTTTTACAGGTTATAACGTAACATAATGGGGTTTGAACAATGGGGTTTTCCCTGGTACCAAAGGGTTTCAAAGAGCAAAAAACGTAATCCAGAAGTATTACGAAGAAAAACAAAATATTAAAGATTCATTGAAAAGAATAAAAGCTAAGGAGATTTTAAAAAAAACGATTTAAAGGGGGCTTCCTTGAATTTACAAAAAGATTTGGCAAGACCCCGAAGATAACTGAGCGTGAAGCCCCACGTGCATTAATGGGACTCCCTTCCCCTCCCCCTTCCTCCTCTCCCCTACACTATACTCAAATCCCATACAATCCACAGACAATAAATTACTGCGAATCTCACGAAATCAGCAAATTTGAACGACGCTGTAGCCTTCAAACACTCGTTTCAATACTATATTTCGCTTATTACAGCTCAAATTTGCAGCTTGCTGTATCGATAGAGAAAGATACAAATAATGTCCTAGTATTATTTTGAAAATAACTCTATTTTCGGGTTATATTTTGCAGTCCACTGGTTTAGATGATGGCTCAATTTAATTGCAGGTATGGTTTATGAGGTGTCTGGTGACGTTTCCTTAACCTTTTCAACCAGCGAGAGTAATGGTGCGTATTTTTAGACAAGGAAGAAGTGCTTTTTTAACTAGTCGCACTTACTAGAGGATCTCATTCACTAGTTATGTTAAACTAGATTGTTCAGAATACAATTTTAGGCTGTAATTTTTGAATCCAATAAGAACTAATGAGCTAAAATTACTAAAACCTATGTGCAAAACTAAGGACTCATGACTTCTTTGTTCATACTACTAATTATTGAAATAAATTACCGAACGATATAGCTTGTGCTTCATTCTTAGCTATCTTTAAAAAAAGATAAGATAATATCATTTGTGATATTATTTAAAAAATCACATGTGTGAAATCTCGACTTTTACATCCGATTATACGTAATACAGTTACTTCGAATTGTGCTACTGCATTATAATATTCTGCAATTTCCTCTTTATTTCCTCTTTAAACTGTTAATTTTTATCATATTTTCCATTTTTCTTACTAAATTTTATTATTTGTTTACAAGCAAATGGCTTTGTCGCATGCGTGGCTGGTTTTCAATAAATAAATAATTTGCTGATAAAATGCCTTTAAGAGCTAAATAGTTTTCTTCAGAACATCGTCATATTCCATCGCCCTCCAAAGCGTTGCTCTATCAATTGAATCGAACGCAGTTGCAAAATCTTTTTATAGGGATTTGTTTTAGGGGTTTCATGAGGTCTTAGAAGAAAAGGATTCTTTTCGACGTGTGCAACTAACCTAAACGATAATTTTTGGTTCCACAAACGATTAATACCTTTTTTGCATACTTCTTTTTTTTCGTAGAATCAAAGAAAAATGTAGTTTTATATAATTAGTTTCATTTAAAATACGTTGCAAAATATATTTTGACTATTTGAATAAAAAAATTTTTTCTCAAAATTATTTATTTACTATTCCAAAATATATTTGCAAAAATAAAGTTAATAAAGTTAATAAAATTAAAAATAAAATTTTGCAAAATAAAAAAAATGAAATAAAAAATTTTTTAAAATAAAATTAAAACTAATTTGCATATTTATTAATGAAATTAATAATAAAATTCATCAAAAAACAATATATTTATTATAATTTTGCTTTAAAAAAGTAGAAATAATATTAGAAAAAAATTAAGAAATGTATATTTTCAAATTTATTGGCATATTCATTTGACCTTTCGATGAATAAATAGTAATATTAGGAATGAGCAACGCATACGCTGCAAAATTGCAAAAAATAATTGTTCTAATAATAACTTAAAAATATTATAAACGCGATAGGTCATGGTCAATCTTCAATGATATACGAGTTATGAATGGTTGCTTTTCAAATTTTTCTTGAATCATTTGCTTCTAAATTTGCACCGTTGCTGGATCGAACCACTCCACTGTGACTGGTGACGTTTCCAGGCTTTCCTCGAATCAGTACCATTCCCCAAAAGTGACGGAAGCATATCTCCTATTATTAAATGTTGGCCCAAGCGTATTCTGACACTGTGGATTCTGACATTTCGGTTTGAAAATTTCCAAATTAAATTATTTCTTTGATTTTATTTATTGAAAAATTAGGATGCCTGTCGGAACAAATGGAGGAAAAAAGTGCAGAAAACTTCGTTATAGAAAATGGAATATTCGACAAGAAAGTAAGAGATCCTCAAATCTTGGTTTTATTTTGCTTGCATCTACTTAAATGGGGGAAACCAGCAAAAAGACGTGTCCCCCAGAATTAAACCTTGGCATATCCCCTAATATTGCTTCAAAATATATTTTTAATATTTCTTAGGATCAGATAGTTTGCTTTAACCCTCTAAATCATTATAATTCTCTCTCTCTCAGTTCACCCGAAGACCCTCGCAACTATCAACTCCGCAATGAAGTGGAGGTGAAAGGTCATTTAGATGGATGAATTTTGTGAGCGCCAAAGGGTTTAAATGATATGGATTATGGGCAGAAAGCACTGTGAGAGTTTGGATCATTTGATCGAATTTGCTAATATATATTTGATGTTAAGAAATATTTAATGGTTCCAAAACTGCGGATGCCGATTGTGCAAGCAGTATTAATGGGTTTTTACTTAGTTGCATTTGGCAGTATTTCATAGCACAAATGAATTTAATAGAATTAAAGGTCGTTTTAATAAAAATAAAAATATGTGGCTTCTCTCAAGTTCATCAAGGAGGATTTGTTTTGAAGATATAGATCATTAATTATACAGAAAAAATTGCCAAGGCAATATGTTGGTGTAATGGAGGGTTTAAGATTGATCGAGGGAATTTAATGCTGAAGGATTTATTAGAGCTTTAAGGCAGTTCGATAGGTTTTTGGGAAGTAAAAATGGTTTATAATAAAGAAGCGCCTCAGTCACTTCATTTTGAACTTTGGCAATCCTATAATTTTTTGTCTGCAACCGTTACCACTGAGCAAACTTTGACGATAAAATACTAAGGGAAAAAATACTAAAGGGCTGAATAAAATGATAAAATCACAGTTGATTACCTTTTTTTTTTATCAAAAACGCTGCATTGAACGAAACGTATTGCAAGAAAAACAACCTAAATCTGAAGAAATATTTACGATATACTGCGATAACGACGAGAATATACCAGACTGTAACAATGATATGATAAACGATTCTGAGCAATTCCATTCGGTGCAAACGGTAATTGTTTTAATAAAAAAAGAAAAGATAAAAGATGGAAGATTTTGATAAAAAGATAAAATATTTTTATTTCCAGCAAGCTTGCATATTTTATTGAAATGTTTAATAAAATATTTTTTAAAATACATTTATTATACCAAAATACATTTACAAAATTATTAAATTAAATCAACGTTTTTTAGTTTTAATTTATTCATTTAAAAATTTATTTTGAAATTATATTTTTAATTAAATACTTTTGTATAATATGTTTTTTAAATATTTTTTACTTTTCAATATTCGAAAAAAGGAAACCTTAGTTTCTTACTGTTATAGGGAAACAAATCAGTGAAATTTGCTAAAAAAGAAGAAATCATAACGAAAATGATAACCGATGAATACTTTCATGAAGTAAGAAACATCTAATATTTTGCTAAATGTAAACATTCAATTTTTATATTTATCTCCTCTCACTTTATTTCAGCCTGGAACATCTGATATAGGCCAAGAAACGAATGCGATAAATACAATGACGCCTTTTAAAAGACGAGTATTTCTATTCTTTAGTGATAAATTTTTAAATTAATTATCAGTGATATTATCAGTGATTCTTGACTACGATTTTTTGGCTTCAGAAATATAAATTTCTCCGATTACAAATGACTTTTAAGGTTAAATTTTTAACTCTTTTAGGATAGTATGGGAATAAGAATGGATTATGGAGGTTATGAAGAAGATAATTTCAACTATATGCGTTTTTTGGAAAAGGGAAATCCAGCTGCATCTGAAATAATATACGTCGAAAGGCGATGTGGTTTTGTCGATTGGATGTGTGAAGTGATTGGAGGATATGCGTTCAGTCCAGTAAGCTTTTATCTATCTATGTACAGTAATCGAAGGATATGCTTAGATTTAGCGAAATTCTTGATGCGATTAGCCAGCTTTGTCCTATTCCATTAGCTTTTTCATGGAGCAAGAACGGCGCAGTGGGTTTTTGCTGGCATTTTGAAGCGTCGGTGCTGGAGTTCTACTCCACTTCTATCATCAAACAATCCCAAAATGTTAAGATTTTTCTGGTCTAACGAACCAGTTGAAAGAACCTAGCTAAAATATGGTGAACGTTTTCAGAGAAAAATTAAAATAATAGTTGACAAATCATTTGAAGGAAACAGTTCATATGGCAGTGGCTATTTATGATCGTATTTTAATGGCGCATCATGTTGAACAATCCGGAATGGGAGTTTTTGCAGCGGCGGCGATTTCACTTGCTACAAAAATGATAGAAATTTGTGGCATAGGAAGCGATGTTCTCGTCCAACTTAGCGGAAATAAACTTCAACAAAATGATGTAAAAATTTTACTTTTTTTAGGTCAAATGGCGTCTGGTCTATCGTTTTGTTGGCCTTCCGATGCCTTTTCTTACCTTTTCTTTGGTCTAAGAAAATGGTGTTAATGGTCTAAAATTTATTAAAATTTAGCTTAGTGGTTAGTCGGCGGAGGTTAAATATCATGAGTTCCGTCCCGTTTATGTCCTTTGACAACAGTAAGCCTCAACATTCCTCAACCTTCCGGATTTATGTGCCCTTCCAACAGCTCTCACCATTACTGGTTGTTACCGCTTGCTAACAAGAGTGAGAGTTTTCAAGTTGCATAATCTGATGCCATCATTGATAGTAATCATATCCATTCCTTTTTCTAGTGCATATATAGCTGGCCTATATGTTTAAAATCTTTTCTGATAGTATCAGTCCAGGTGTTGATTGGCCCACCTCGCTTTTGGCGCCATCCATCACAAGGTTTAGCGAAATAGTGTTCAGCTCCTGTGGTGGGTGACGAACATGCTCTAACCAGCAAAGACGACGCTCCAAATGATAAATAGTGAATGATGTTAGGAAAGAACTTGGAATTTCATTTATATTAATGCTAGTAGCGAAGGTGGATGCAATCATGTGAGATTTTATCAGCTGGATGGATCCGTAAGATATATTTTAGACATGAGTGATCAAAAGCAAACATATAAGAAGTTGAGCGAACTGCAGCTGTACAGGTTCATCAATCCTATCTATCTGTTCCGAATAATTTCCTAATAATCTCTCCTAAGTCAATCACATCAACCAAATGAATGGTAAATGGTGATGTTAGGAAAGAAGAGTTAGGAATTTCATTTAATTTTTTCATTTCACTTATTATCAAATATTTATTCTAATTAAACGGATTTTGTACTGTTTTTCTTCAGATTTTGCGAGCTGAGGGCCTCTCTTTAATCGCCTTAGATTGTCGCTTGAATATTGCTACTTCGTTTTGGTTTGCACACTTTTTCAATGGTTTGGTTGAACTGAACAGTGAATGCCAATGTTTAACACTTTATTTGATGGAATTAAGCATGATGTTTGTTCAGTATTTGGATTATAAGCCAAGTGTCATTGCGGCAGCCTCTATCGTTATTGCTCGTTCATGCACGATGAAAAATGAAGATCTCTGGCCTAAGTCACTGGCACGTTTCGGTACTTTATTATTTCATACTTTAAATAAAACATGTTTCTACGGCGATTTTTTGCCATATTCCAGAAATAGCGCCAATTATTGCTTCTTTAGCCTTTTCGAAATTTGCAATTTTGCCACATATGTCCTCGATATTGTCATATTTTTCTTGTTTTTAAGATCGGCCACCATTCATTGCTGGTTAGACTCGTTCTGCTGGCTTGTCGCATTGAACAAATATGCCAGAGTCCCTTGGTGATAGAAGTACAGGCGAGTCGCCATCATTTCCCACTTTTTTAGATTTATTCTGCGGAGAGTAGAATCTCAGCATCAGGGCGCTCCCAGTTGAGTAAAACCCATTACACTCCTTACTGTTATCATATTACAGATATAAATCTTACATTAAAAAATTTATTTCAGATTTATCTATAGCCGAAATAAAGACTGGATTGCCGTTTGTACATTTTATTTTTCAAGAAGCACCAAATATGAAATTTCAAAGTATCAACGAAAAATATTCTTGTAAACGATTCCTTTACATTTCACAAACCTACTCCCCACCAGGTATCGATGAATTACTGGAACGCATTTGAAATATTCGAAATATTCTTTATGGATCTCAATTCCAATTGTTTTTTTCTAGATTGAATAGTTCAATGTATTGGATTTTTATTAGTTTTTAATTTTATTAATTTTCGTGAAAAATCACTTTCATTATTATTTTTATTATTAATTCTATTATTTAACAATCATTTCTACATTATTATTCTGCGATTGTGGGCAGAATGTCTTAGTGGGTAGTTCAGAGCGCCGATGTTGGGGTTCTACTCCCCGCAGGAGTAGAAAACCCGGTCCAAAGATCCGGGTGATGCTGGCGACCCACCTGTATTTCTATCGCCAAGAGGCTCTCTGCCATACTTGCCTAGTGCGATAAACCAACCAGGTCTAACAAGTCTAATCTGTAATGGTGAGGGCTTTAAAAAAAATTCTACGATTAAATAATGATCTCAGGCAATATTGACTTTCTAAAGATAATTTTGAATTCAAATTATCTTTTTAGAATCGGATTTTTCAAATCACGTAGGAAATTGTGAGTTTGCTCATGGATTTCTTGGATTATTTGGAATTATTTGGTAATTTTTTGAATTACTAGGGGTTTTCTTAAATAGCTTGGAAATTCTTTAAACCACATGGGGTTTGCTTGAATCTCTTCGGAATTGCTTGTGGTTTTCTTGAATCATCTTAGGGATTTTATCAGTTGCATGTATTTTTTTTCATATTGCCAGACAAAAAATTTTATATTAAATTAAACATTGCCAAATATAAATTTGATATTGAGAAAACGTTTGTTGACAACTGCTTCTTCGTTCCGTTGTGGAATTGTCTTTAAGGCTCGTTTTAATCATTCTATTCTTCTGATTATCAAATTTATTTCAATAAATACTTTAATTAATTAATTAAAATTTTCAATATTCATTTAAATCATAAAAAGAAATATTGAAAAAATTTTTTAATTTAAAAAGTTTTTTTGTAGTTTTACTAATTTATTTCGCCAAAATTAATTTTTAGGAAAATTTTCAAACCTTAATAAATTTTATATTTAAATATTATTAACACCAGATAGGATTCTAAATAAAGATTGTGCAAAAACAACCCAGAAACAGTCCAATATATAGTGGCAGAGTGTAAAATATAAACAGGAACAAGCATACGCTAAAGGCATGACTAATCAGCTGGCACCATCTGCAGGAACATCTGCTGGGTGTCCAGTGCTCGGTACATGGCTTACCCTCCCAAGATTAAATGGGAGATTCCTCAGAAAATCGTAGAGAGTAATAAAGCGAAAATGCTGTGTGAGTCCCTCATGCAAACAGACAAATAACCAATCAACCAGAATCATGGTAATTGAGAAATCGACATTGGTGATTGATATAGCAATACCAAGCGACAGGAACGTCAGAAAGAAGGAATACGAGAAGTTGGAGAAATACTGAGATTTGAAAGAGTAAGTAGAGAAGATATGGAAAGTAAAAGCCGAAGTAATTTCAGTGATAATTGGAGCACTTGGAACTGTGACCCCTAAACCGTGGCTTCATTCCAGACATCACAGATCTCTATCCAGAAGAGCGCACTAATAGGAATTGCTAAGATAACATAGTGCGCAGAATGATTATCCTCAACCTCCAAGCCTCGGATGAAGGTCTCGAAGTTGAGGATAATCATGGCCACCCACAAGGGGTGAGGGAAAAGAAGTTGCCTTAAAATACTAGTCAAAGTGGATAATGAGAGAAATATCACTTGAAGTGCATAGGATCTAACTCAAGCTAAACTACACAATATAGAGAAAAATAAGTTACTAGAAGCTAAGTGCTGAAAAATCGAAGGCATTCGCACCATTATAAGGTGTAAGAACTGTGATGTAGAACAAGACAGACTGGAAGATAATGGTCCGCAAGGAATAATAAAAATTAGGCCCGGTGTGTTTCGGAGGTATTTTTGAAATTTCATGATGGACATGAGTGGCTGAAATAAAACAGCATAACATCATCACCTACAGGAATATCTCGGTATATGGCTTAGAGCAAATGGGAGACGAAGTCCTCAGAAAATAACCTGCCATTAAAAGAGGCATCCGGCTGGCTCTTAAGGATTCCTTTCTATCTTCGAACTTTTTGGTGAAAAGTCCTTAAACTGTCAAGAGGTCCAGCGAAACCAGAAATTATGAGTGGAAAATTGTAAAGCATGGGGGCTCCATGGGATTTTTAGAGATGACAACTGGACAGAACAGGCCATGAGGACAGGATAGGAAGAGGCTGTGGAGACAAGACAATAAACCAAATGCGATATTTTATGTCTGCTACCCTTCTCTGCTGTCTAATTCAAAGCCGACGCTAGTGAAGGAACGAGTTTTAATTTTAAGAATGAGCCTTAGCACTGAGAACGGTTAGAAAGTGGTCGTTTTTATACGTCATGGCGATCCTAGAATTTTTTGTCATTCGTGGAGATGCTTGTGGATTTAGTCGGATATGTTGTGGGGGGGGGGGGGTGCGGTTCCAATCCTTATTTATTTTTTTAATTTTTCCATTATTTTATTTAATTTCTGGAATTTGCAACAGTTTCAGTCCTCTCTTGAAGATGGGGTTCTCTCTCTTCGTTCTCTTTTTATTTTTTTATTTCAATTCTTTTTTCGCATTATTTACTGCTTAGCCTGGTTTCGCTACCTGTAAGACCTTTCAGACCTTTCGTCCCACTACCATCCGCGAGTAATAGGAATCATTTATTTTTCCACCGCGTAAGCCCATGCATCGATGTTTTCCCACTAAAATGCAATTTTTATGAATATTTATAAATATTTTTCATATGGACCGGTTATTTCTTCATACATTTTTTTATTAATTTTATATTCAATTTTATGCTAATTTTGATTTCATTGATTTCTTTATTGATTTTCTTATTATCAATACTTTTTAAAGTATTTTTTAATTTACTATTTTCAAATTTTCATTTATTGTTTATTTGTTCTTCGACCCATATTTATTAAGAGATTAAAAGTTATTCGAATTATTCGTACGATATTTTTTTTAAGAGTCCTCACCATTACTCTTTAAAAAAAATATCTTTAACATTATATCTACCTTTGACAACTCATATCTAAACATTACCAGGGAATCCCTTGGCGATAGAAATACAGGTGAGTCGCCAGCATCACCCGGATTTTTGTAGTACAGATTTACCCCAGCAGGGAATCGAACCTCAGCATCGGTGCTCTCAATTTTGCATGGTTGCAAGGTTGAATCCACAGATTGTGGTTCGATTTCAAGAGTCAGAAAGGTAATATTCCAAGGTTTGTCAATAAAAATTTTTCATCGTACAGGTGTAACTCTTTATTTTCACTGAGGATTTAGTTTTGTAGCTAATGTTGAAGAATGCATGGTGAAGTCGTCACGCCAGTTATATGCAGAATTACCAGCCAAGAAATTTGCCTACCTCAGAATCAAGATTATTTACAGCCAAATTCATTACCCAATACATGAGATAAAGGGGATAGGATGGCTTATTGGGTTGTTGCTCAGTTCGAGGCATCGTTGCTAAGGTTCTATTCGCAGCAGGAGTAAACCTGCCCAAAAATCCAGATGATACTGGCGATCCATCTGTACTTCTATCGCCAAGAGACTCTCTGGCATATTTATTCACTGTGACAAGCCAGGGAGGCGAGTTTAACCAAACTCTTAAAACTCAAAAAGGAAAAAAAGAAAAATTTGAGATACAAGAAATTTATAGTCACTTAAAAAATAATTTGCAATGGTTGAATTGGATTAACTAGTGTCGGAAATGCTGTTGTTTCACCATGACATATCACCATCGATAATTGTACTAGGCATCCGATAAATAGCGTATCGTTAATTTTGCCTTAGATATTAGATGTAGATATATTTTTTAAGAAATTCTTAATCAAACATTTCAGATACATCGATAAATTACATTAATTTAACGTGTGCAATGGTCGTTCAACCGATACAATCTGTACAAGTTTTCGGGCGTAAGAAGACTGCAACTGCTGTTGCTTACTGCAAAAAAGGGAGAGGTTTAATTAAGGTAAATTAGAATTTAAAAAGCTCTTTATATAAATTAATTTTCGATTTGTTTCAATTTTCATAAATGGAAGTGCGTTACATATTAAAGTGTAATAAGTAAATAGTAAGTTAGAATAAAGGAGCAAGCAAAAGTAAATAATAAAGGGAAAATAAAATTAATTAAAAAGTAAAGGATAAATAATCAACCATTAATTAATTATTTTAATGGTTCCATTTTATTGTATTTAATTTCTTATTTAGGTGAATGGAAGGCCGCTTGAATATATACAACCTGAGATTCTGCGAATAAAACTTCAGGTTTTGTTTTCCTTCATATATTTTTTAATATCTTTTATCTTTTTATTGATGCACTGTTTATCACTGTTGCACTTTTATCTTTACTTTATGTTTGGTTTTTTGAAATGTTATTTCGAAATTTTCCGTGAAAATGAGTATTGATCATTCTAGGAGCCTTTGCTTGTTCTTGGTAAAGATCGCTATCAGGATGTTGATATTCGTGTACGAGTTAAAGGAGGTGGTCATGTAGCTCAAGTATTTGATTTTTTCAATAAATTCATAATAGATTAAATGTTAAAATTTTTCAAATTTTTACTATGTTATAAAAATAACTTTTTTCGATGGAACTTATTTATCAATATTGACTCCATTTTACAAATAATTCTTTTGGTTTTTCCCTTTTTGTGTAATATCTAATTAACAGAATACTATTTACAAGTAAAAGCAAGTGGAAAGGTATTATTCCATTTGATATTGATACAACTCGCTAATAAGATTAATAAGTGGTTTAAGTGGTTTATAAATTATTTATTTATTTATATGATTTATAAGTTATTATCGAGTGATATATTTACTTAGATTATCACTTTGGGCATCATGGTTCCACACTTGTTATCAGAACTTAAATCGTTAAATCGTTTGTTGCTCATAAGGAGTTGTAATTTTAATCTTCTTTTTGTTACATTTCACCTTGGTTGGAATAAATCTTGGCATTATCAGTCAGTTCATTCTGGGTTCATCTGCATTTACTGTATTTGCAAGTAATTTTATAGCGAAAAGATTTCACTGTATTACTTGATGAAACCAAGAAAAAGTAGTGATGCCAAGAAAAAGAAAAAAAATTTAATATTCATTTCTTTTAGATTTATGCCATAAGGCAAGCACTAGCCAAAGCGATTGTTGCTTACTACCAAAAATTTGTTGATGAGCAAAGTAAAAAAGAATTGAAGGACCAGTTAGTGCAGTATGATAGAAATTTACTTGTCGCTGATCCTCGTCGTCGGGAACCGAAGAAATTTGGTGGCCCAGGTGCTCGTGCCCGTTATCAGAAATCATACCGTTAATCTTTTTTTTATTGCATTTTTATTGTTACTTTGCATAAAAGAATTTTTTTGTCCATCGATGTTATATGTTTATTTTTGTGATAGTTTCAATAAATTATGATTTATTAAATTCATGTTATTTTTTTGTTTTATTTTATCAAAAATTTTTAACACAAAAAAAGGAAACATTTTTGTCGCGGCATTTTCCATGCTTTGTCAAATTATGTTATATTTTTCGGTACACAACTCGAAGACGACCAAATGGTCGGCATCACCTTTTTCATTTCAATTCACAGTTGTATAAGAAGCCACTGAGAGATTATAAAATAGATGTGTGGAAGATTAACCATCAAGCAATAGCGAAAACGTTTGGGGTGGGGAATGAAAATGAGAAATTGTGCTACTAAAATCAAAATAGTTTCAACACGAAAGTCTCAATTCACTATCACTTGCTCTGGATTCGCGCAAAAAACTGGAAAGCGTGGTTTCAGATTTTCCGGTCGGTTGTCGGGATTCCTCTTTCTTGAAGTTTTAAGTTTTTAAGTTTTGGCTCGTTTTGAAAAATTCGGGTATTTCAGTTTGATCTTATGAAAATTATAAATTATAAAAACTAAAAATTATGAAAAAAATCTTATTTTTTCATGATTTTTAGTTTTTGATAGTCCTATTTTTTCATTGAAATTTTCTATTTTTCGCTTTTGAAGAAAGCAGTTTCAAATAATTTTCAAAAATTTTATTATTGGAAATCCAAGGTTTTTCAAAGAATCACTCGAATTTCGAAAATTTTCACCTCAGTTTTCTTTTTTCTCGCTTTTTTTACGATGAACTTTTGTATTCTAATTTTAAGATAAATTAGGCTAAAGAGAGGATGTCGAAATTTTTCAAAGGCGCTGTGTCAAGTTCGGATTCTTCCGGAAGTGAGAGTAGCGATGAAGAACAAGTTATTGCAATTAAACGACCTCCGTAAGTTTCATATTTATATTAATTATTTTTAATAGAAATTTTTAGTTGAACCCATAGCCTAAGAATTTTTTACGCTATTGAATTTTTAATATTTTTTATAGTTTCAATTTGTACTTTGTGAATTTCCTATCTGAAATAGTTTTTCACTGAAGAATAATAATAATCGTTGCAATCTTATGAAGGGTTTTTCAAGAGTTGGATTTGCTTATCCATCGGATAGTGAAGAAGAAGGACAAAAACGCGTCGTTAAGGCCCACAAAGATCGCAAGTTTGAAGAATTAAAAGATTTGATAAAGCAAGCAAAAAATTCGAGGAATATTAAAGATATGTCCAAGTTACTTTCAAGTAATGGTTATTTTAATTTTTTTTTTCACCTAATGTTGGAGGAAACGTACGTATATACCTATTCTATTTTAAGCCGTGGAAGAATTATGGAAGGTTTTTGAAAAAACTAAAGCAGTTCTCTCTCGTCAAGGAATATCTACTCCACGCTTTTATATTCGAATCCTTGTCGAATTAGAAGATTTTGTAAATGAGCAGTGGGAAGACAAGGATGCTCGCAAGGCAATGTCAAAGGCTAATTCGAAAGGCCTCACTACACTACGACAAAAAATTCGTAAATATAATAAAGTCAGGTTCAAGTTTCAAAATTTCTTGTTTTTTTTCGTTTTTACTGAGGTATATTTATAGGATATGGAGGCGGAAGTATCTGCATATCGAGCAGAACCTGATCCAGTTGGTTATTCCAGTGCAGATGGTGAAGTGGATGAAGATGAACAAGTATTATTTTATTTATTTATGTTTCTCAAAATTAATAAGTAATTTCGATTTAATTCAACTTGTGCTCTCCTTTATCAAAAAATTCTATTTTAATAGGAAGAGCAAGAAATTGAAGAAGAAACTGTCAAAGGCAAAACTAAGAAGGACTTTGATATTGATTCAGATGAGTGGAGTTCAGATACGCAGACATCTTCTGATAGTGATTCAGATTTAGACTTCGAAGGAAAACAAATGGAAGATTTACGCAAATTTTTCCTCAAGTATGTTGTATAAAATATCGAGGATATTGTTCTACTTTTTCCGTCCGGTAATCCTTTCAGTTTTTAGGAAGGAATTCAAGGAAGGTGGTGAAACTGAAGGAAAGGAAAAGCGGCAGGCTGAAAGAGCGCAGAGACAAAAAGAACGTGAAGCAAAGGAAAAACTAGAAGATGATGATGATGAGGAATGGGTTGCAATTCCCACAAAAGAAGAAAAAATGCGTCAGCTATTTGATCCGAAAACAGAAATAACTCATGAGGTGATTGGTCGTAATGATATAGGGAGGCCTTTTTTTGTGTTCTGATGCATTTTTTTGGATTTTGGAAAATATCTTATAGGTTGTTACTAACAAATTGCATGAAATTATCGCAGCACGAGGGAAGAAAGCAACCAATCGTAAACATCATGTGCGAAATCTGCAAGAACTTTTCAGGATTGCTGATGAGGTTTTTTTTTTTTTTTTAGTTGAATTTATTAATTCATTATTATCAGAGCTGGTTTAATTATATGTTTACTTTAAATTAATTTGTTACTTCTTGAATTTGATTTATATTATATTAGTATTAATTTCTGTTTAAATTCAAATTTTTTTTTTTGATGTTTTCCTTTTTTCTCTTTCAATTAAAAATAAGGTTTCAATTTATTTTATGCATTTCAAATTTCATAGATCAATCATTTTTCTTTCTTTTGGTCTCTTTTCAAATGCTTTAACGAATTTTTTTAGAACAAGCTTGGTCCAGGACTTCTTGTAAAAATCTTATTTTCCATTATCTCCGCTCTGTTTGAACTGAATACGAGAATTAGCGATTATATGGAATATTCTTCATGGACAAAGTAAGCTTTCCCTTTTCACCTGATTCAATTTGTCGATTAGCGTAGCTTTGTTAATGTCTGGAATGTGCTATGTGGTTTTCGCACGGTTGTCAAAATTATCACAGATATCATATCACAGATATCACAGATACCAGTTAATTTAATTTTGTTTAATTTTATTTTAATGCTTTGATGCTTTTATTCGATGCTTTTATTTTTATCTTCTAGGACACTTGGTGCTACCAATAGTCTCTTAGATCTTTTGAAAGCATATCCTGAAGTCATACTTTCCGTTACGTTAAACGAAGATGATGAAAATATTAGCGATCCTACTCAGAATTATCGTGTTCACGGTTCTATCCTCATGAGTGTGCAACGTTTGGATACTGAATTGACAAAGGTTTTGCAAAATGCGGACTGTCATAGCAATGATTATATTGAAAAGTATATCATATACTCTTATTTACAATTCTCATTGATCAATATTTTTTTAGAACCTTATTTTTACATATTTAATTTTATACAATTATTTTGCGATCTTCTTTATTTTATTTTATTCCAGATTATATTCCAGATTATTTCAAAAATCATTTTTATTATTTTTTTAGGCTTAAAGGTGAAAAGGACCTATGTGCTCTTATAGAAAAGGCAATGGATTATATGCATGGGTTATATAAGGATAAAGGAATATTTTTAGATGAAGAAATTTGCAAATTATATATGTTGCGGATCGAACATGTTTATTATAAGGTAATTTTTTTTATTATTTATGAAATTATTTACGCCAAATTTGCAAACGAATCAAAGAAAAAGTAGAATGCGCAATTTGCAGTGCGTAAAAAGTAAAGTAGAAAAAATAGAAAGAATAAAAATGCGCAATTTGCAGTTAAAAAAAACTTAAAACATTATTTCAGTATGAATCAGAAGATTCTATTGAGCCAGGTCAAGAATCATCTATAGATCTGATGGAACGCCTTTGCAAAGAAGTTTATAGTCGTGATGAAACGAAGAGACTGCGCCAGCGCGCTATGCTTTGTCAAATTTATCATCTTGCTCTGCATGACAAGTGGCATCAGGCTCGCGATCTTATGCTCATGTCACACTTACAATCCACCGTGGATCACTCGGATATGAGTACTCAGGTTTTATTTGGTGTTGGCGACATTTTTATACCTGCAATCTCCTAAAATATTTTTAAGTTTGCTTTTAAACTGAATTATCACTTTAGATATTGTACAATCGGACAATTTGTCAGCTAGGATTATGTGCTTTTCGACATGGTTATATCAAAGAAGCTCATCAGGGTTTATCAGAAATTCAAAATACCCAAAGAGCCAAAGAATTGCTTGCACAAGGCGTGACACTCAGACAACAAGAGCGAACGCCTGAGCAGGTAAAGAATTATTGGAAATATTAGATAAACAAACAAAGAAATGAATACAAATTTTTCTTATGTGTATTTTTGGTTGAAAATAATAAGTGATGTAGAATGTTTGGTATAGGAAAAGGTGGAACGAGCTCGTCAAGTTCCATATCATATGCATATTAATGTTGAACTTATGGAATGCGTTTATTTGATATGTTCTATGCTACTCGAAATACCCCATATGGCATCACAAGAATATGAATTGCGTAGACGGCTTCTTTCACGCTCATTTCATTATCAGCTGAAGCAGGTATTAGATAATAAGATTATAAGTAGGTATTAGCAGATTTGACTAAACTTATTAATTATATTTGTGCTTGCTTATTTCATGTTATTTTCTACTCTTTTTTTTGGAATTTTAATGCATTATTTCTTTATATGATTATATGATACAAAAATTTGCGTTGCATTGTAATAGCTTGGTTGCATTCACTTATACTTATCTTTCTTTTTTCTTAACAAATCAATTATTTTTCGTCATTTCGATTACGCATAAGACTTCACTCAATCAATTTTTTTCATCTGTTACATTAAAAATTTGAACGAATATAACTTTCTATCATTTGGTTGATTTTTAAAATTTTAAAATTTGCATGTTTAGCAATTTATTCAGTAATTTTTTTATAAAATGCTTTGCAAAATATGCAAATTTTTTCGCTATATTCCTAAATATTTGCTTATTCTGCTGATATTTTATATGAAAATTTCGATTTTACAAAAATTTTGTAAAAAATTTTGATCTTTTTAATTTTAATTTTAATCTTTCTGTCTTATGTTTAATTTTTGATAAATTTGCTTTGATGGATAGAATTTGATTAAATTTATTATAGTCCGAAAAATGCTCATTGATTGGTCCTCCTGAGAATACACGTGAGCATGTAGTGGCCGCATCTAGAGCAATGCTTAATGGTGACTGGAAAAAATGTCGAGATTATATTGTTAATGATAAAATGAATTCGAAGGTATTTACCTCCTAGTTTTTTCTTTTGTTTCTTTTTGTTTTTGTTTCATTTACTTGTTATTTGTATACATTATAATATAGTCAAGCATTGGGGGTAGAATGGCTCAGTGGATTATTGCTCCATCGGGAGCGCCGATGCTGAGGCTCGATTTCCCGCACGAGTTAACCTGTACAAAAATCCTGGTGATGCTAACGATTCACCTGTGTCTCTATCGCCAAGAGACCCCTTGACATATTGCCCAGTGCGACAAGGCAGTGGAGAGAGAGAGAGAGGGTTATGGTGAGGACTCTTAAAAAAAAAATCAAGTATGCAAAAGGACCTCTTGGCATATTGCCCAATGCGACAAACCAGAGGGGAGAGAGCCAGAAAGGGCATGTACTTATAATTAAAGCTAAGAAATAGGAATAAAAAGGGAAATAAAAATAAAGCGCTTCGCTGTTCTTGTGGATTTCTTAAAAATAATTAAGAAATAAGGATTAATTTAAGACCATTATGGTCAAATATAATTTCTCTTTTTGTTTGTTATTTTTTGTTTCATTGTGCTGTATTCTTACTTAAAATATTTATTTAATACATTTTGGTTTAAGGTATGGAATTTATTCCGAAATTCAGAGAAAGTGAAATCAATGATTATTGGTCGTATTCAAGAGGAATCATTGCGTACTTATCTTTTAATGTATTCAACGGTTTACACGACCGTTTCTCTGGATTTTTTGTCTAAGTTATTTGAACTGGATAAAAAAATGGTGCATTCTATTATAAGGTTAATTAATTTTTTTCAGTTATTTTAATGACATGTTCAAGTTCTTATAAATAAACCTTTAATAAATTTAATTATCTTTGTAATTTTTAACCATAAACTTCTACAGCTATATTAATATATTTTTGTTAACTTCTACAGCTATATTATATTTTTTGAGTAAATTCTAGCAAAATGATTATTTCTGAAGAATTAACCGCAAGTTTGGATGAACCAACAGATTCTCTTATAATGCATCGAGTTGAACCAAGCCGTTTACAACTCCTTGCTTTACATTTAACCGATAAACTCTCCCAGCTTGCCGACAGTAATGAGCAGGTAAATATTTCTTATTCTTATTTTTCTTTTTTTTTGTTTTATATTTTTATTCCTTATTAATTATAAAACCAAAATTAACAAATTGAATAATTTGAGGATTTAGCATAAATTTTAAGTTATATTTAGGTTCTTGAGCCTCGTGCCGGTAGGAATTATACAGGTCCAAGCGTTTGGTACGGTCTTCGTCAGGAACGTTTATCTGCTGAACAGCAGCTGCGCATAGCTCGAACGTTTCAGGTGTGTAACTGTAGGCAATATTTTTATTTTATTTCTTTTTATCTACTTATTACAACCAATTTGTGCGTTGAAACTAGGTTGTTGGTAGGAAAACATTTGTTTCGTATTTCTTTTTTTTTTAGATCGATTTATGGCTAGCCAAATGCTTTTAAAGAATGTCCATTTTTGTATGAGTAAATACGTCTATATTAGTGAATTCCATTAAAAAATTTTACTTAATTTCAGAATGATAGGCGTGATCGGCAAGAATCGATAAGTAAAGGTCGATGGAGTACGAATGTGCAAAATAGACGTCGTGTGCCTGAATTACGAACGCGTTATTAATTAATATTTTTTGCCATGTTTGTTGATAATTATTATTTATTTGAAGTAGTCATATATTTTTCTTATTGATCAGATTTTCTTTCTTTTTTTTCATTATTTTTGATAAATGTTTGAAGGAATGGCATGAATTTGATGTTTTTTTTATTTCTAGTGGAATATTATGCGATTCTTTTGGACTTAAATTCAAGTTAATGAATTATTTATCAGGATATTGAATTTTTTTATTTTGAAAATCAGGCTGCAAAATGATTCTTTCTGAATTATTTTTCTTATTTAAACGCCAATATTTAAATGTCCCCTTGGAATAAAATTTTTTCCTTCTCTGTTCTTGTGTAATAATGCAGAAAGAAATGGCTAATGAATCAAGATAAATAATAATCTATGGATTAAATAAATTTGCATTTTTACGTCGAATCACTTCCAAGAATATAGCGAAGAATCGAGAAGAAATAATTCTACCTCTTTTGCGCTTTCTTACTATTTCATATAAAAAGTATTCATATACATGGGTATCTTAAATTTAAGTAAAAAATCTTTTATCCTTGGATATTGACATTAATTTCGCTTATAATTTCATTTTCTAATTATTATTTTATATTCTTTTTTATCAATTATTCGATCTATTGAAATGTTTGTACTGTGAAATTGCGCACTGTTTTATTTAAGTGGTTTGTTTTTTGTTTAATTTCAGAATTTTGGTTTTTTTTCGTCTTTCAGCGTTAAACGGTAATTGTTGAATTGGCAGAATGGATATCGGTTATTTCGTTATTTGATTTCGTTAGTTTCATTTTTAAAACTGCGCCGGATGGTGGTGGCGACTCGCTATACCTCTACCTCTACCCTCTATCGCCAAGGAAATCCCTAGCATATTTGTCAAGTGCGACAAGCAGATGAACGAGTCTAACAAGCAGTGGTGAGTGCTTTGGAAAAAATTTGAAACTATGGATCATTTTTATTTATGACATTTTTAGTTCTAATAATTTGCGATCTATTGAAATGTGCGCAGTCTCTTTACGGATCGTAGAACTCTTCCGGTGCTGCACAACCTGACATGTTTGTATTACAAATAGATGGTAGTGAATTTGAGCGCATTGGCTTCAAATTTTTAAAAAATAAGAAAGTCCTTGCCAGAGGTTCTAATTTTATTTATTACTAATTGCTCAGGTTCTTCCGTTCCGTTATTTATCAGTTCAATGATATTTTGTTTAATGTTACTTTTCTGATTTCTTTTTTAAAAATGTTTTTAGTTGGTTGCGCTTATCGAACCAGGCGAAGAGAACTAACTTGGCGATATTCTATACAGGTGAGTCGCCGCCAGTTACTTCTGGGGCTTTTTTAAATTTTAGGATTATTCTAATATGTTCACTTGCAAGTCGCAGTAAATATTTTTGTTCGCGTGTTGTTTATTTCATAATGAACTCCGGGAATGTGTCATATTTATTCATTTATTTAAATTATTTATTTGTTATATAAAAGTTAGTTTTTTTATTTAGGAAAAATTTAGGAAAAAAAAAAAAATTGTTTGCTTGGGTTAAAAGCAGCAAATAATTATGAAAATATTGAATTAAAATGAATGAAAACTCATTCGTACCCATTCTATATTTTTCTGAAGAAATTTTAAATTTATATATTCGCTGGCAAAGGTATTGAATGGCATTTTGTTGTATAAGATCGGCCAATTTCTCTTTTTTACTTGTATGGCCTCGGCTGACCTTTTTATCGAACTTGTTGACCTTTTACATTTATACATTTGTACCATTTTAAATGTCTCTGTTTTGACCCCTCTGCATTGCTCACCTTACAATATATAAGCGAATGAATTCTCGCTATACACAATTCTCTTAAGCGGTCGAATTCACTGTTATCAATCTTTTTTCAACTATATTCGTTCCGATTCATTTATCCATTTTTTTCGTTTTACTTTTATTTTCGTCGAATATTTAAAAAATGTTTTGTAATTTGCGATGTTTTGCGTTATTGATTTATAAAATTTTAGTGGAATTACAAAGACAACGGATAAATTTTCCATTTATTTCAGAGCGAAACGATCGTTTACAATTTAATTAACGAACGTTTTAAGAATGAATAACATCGACGATATTCCATGTTCAAAGATTCGACTAAATCTTTCTGCTAAGTGATTTTTTGCTTTCTCTTTTTATAAGTTATCAGCTTTGTCAATTTTGCTATTCTGGAATAACAGTTAGCGACAAACACTTTTTGCCCGAAATGATAGATAAACCATATTTCCGCCTCTCTTTTTACATTACATTTAAATTTAAGGGGATTCGACAGAGACTCCCTTTCTATTGTCCCTTTTAAAATTTTGCTGTTTTCGAGGTTTATAAGTGTTGTGTTGAATAGCCCAGTTCACCTGTCTGTTTTCTCCAAATTTTTCCCCTGGAATCCTTTCGAAAGGCTCCTTTAAGGAAATAAATGATCGTATTAAATCGAAATAAAATAAATGATTTGCTCTAACTAAATTTAGCATAACCAAGTGCCGCATTGTTGCGCTAATTCATCGCATTTGATTTCAGGAATTTGTATGATTCGGATGTTTTCTCAAAAAGCGATCCAATGTGTGTTGTATATCTCGCAAGAGGTTGTTTTCTTTGTTTTATCTTTAAGTTATCTTTCTTCTAATACGAAATTTATAATCAGTTTGGAAATTTTTTTCGTGTCGGTGATAATGTCGGTGAATTTAGATGCGAAATGTGATGGCAATTATCACGAGATTGCTCGCACAGAGACAATCCGCAATTGCTTAAATCCCGAATGGTGTAAACCGATTTTCGTTGATTATTATTTTGAAGAAGTACAAAGAGTTAAATTCGAAATGTGAGCATTTTTTTTTATGGTTTAAATTATTCAAAATAAATTGAAAATTGTAATATTTGACGAGAAAAATGCGATATTTTTGCAGATATGATATTGATAATACGTCTTGCCTATTGTCCGAACACGATTATTTGGGCAAAGCCGAATCGACATTGGCTGAAATTGTTGGTGCACCTTCATCGAGTCGAATTCTTCCACTAATGTAAGGAATCGAAAGATATTTATGTTTTAATATATCGTAAGATTTTGCAGTAATATTTTCTAATTTTTTTAAGAGGTCCAAAATCCGGAAGGAAATACGGGGAAATAAAAGTGATCGCTGAAGAAGCAGATGATGAAGCGAAGGAAACTTTGCAATTAGTTTGTGCTGCGCGCAATTTGGATAAAAAGGATTTGTTTGGTAAAAGCGATCCATTTTTGCAGATTTATCGCATAAATGATGACGGAACGTTAGTTTTTTATTTAAATACTAAAAACAGCTGGTCCAGCTGGTAGCTCTATCTGTTGACGCCACTACACCTCTCGATGCCCTCTTTAAATATTTCTTTAATATTTGTTCGATTCGTGCTATACTGTTTATTATTTCATTTGCTGTCAACTTTCCCTTATTCTGCTTTATTCCAGTTATATCCTGCAAAATCATTGTATAGCTGTTTTTATTTTAGACTGATATTGCAAAGATATAAAGCGAGTATTGTCATGGTAAAAGATGATAAAAGATGTATTTTTGGATTTTGGAGAATAATAAGGGAACATGGCAGAATTGTGGATATTTTTAAGTGGTTTTACAGGGTTATAACGAGTTTCAGTTTCGATAGTATTTTAAGATTGTCATTGGACCATAAAACGGTCTGAGTTTCAATAAGTCAAATAGTTTAATAGAACTAACAGACTTTGTCGAAGAATTACGCTTGTTTGGATCTTAAAAGGGTATATTGGAGTATTGAAAGCGTAAATGAACTATAACAGGCCAATGGAAGTTGCTAGAAGATGGATGATGATACGAATAAACATGCCCTTATCCTATATTTAAGAAAACGCTGCTAATGGGCTGTAGAGAACAGCATAATTTTTTGGGATATTTAATAGAAATTTGATATTTAATAGAAATAAATTCTCGAGAAATTCTAAGAGCATTCTGAGTTCTAAAAGTTCTATTTAATAATGCTTGGGGTAGCTTATCGCAAATGGTTTTGAAAGTCGAGATTTCCCAGTTTGAATTATATTTACCGCTCCTGCGTATAAACTGCTTCAGCCAGGAATTTTATTATATGGATTATAAGAGATTTCGAAGTATATATTCTTTCCACTTAATATTAGAAAAGAATATTCAAAAATTTCAATAAAATGTTTATTTCTCATTTTCAGTGTTTTTTTCAGTGAATATTTGTTACATCGAACAGAAGTTATTAAAAAGACCGTCAATCCAGAGTGGAAACTCATAGAAATAAGTATGCAGCGATTGTCGTTTTCAAATCAAGAAAGGTAGCACGATACAAACCCTAATAGCATATATATTTTACCTTTTCTTTTAGGCACCATTTTTGGTTCGTCTGGCATTCAAGGCCAGTATCAGCCTTTTTCCGTTGAATCAATTAAAGATGCTTATGAATCTTCCGATTTTTTATGCTCACAAATTTTGAATAATGTTGAAATTTTTGCGAAATTTGAGTTAATATTAATAAATATTTTAAAATTATAAAATTTCTTGGAAATTCATTTTTTAGAAGGCTGCGATTCAATTGCTACGATTATGATAACGATGGCGGGTTAGTTTAATTTGTAATTTTTTAATTTTTCCAAAATTAAAACCAAAATTTTGTTAATTTATGTCCAAATAATTTAATTTCTTTCTTTCTTTCTTTTATTTCTTTGATTTCATTAGTATTTTTATAACTAAAATTAATTAAATCTTTTCAGTCATGATTTTATTGGACATTGTGAAACAAATGTTGATCGTTTGTTGCAAAAGAAAGACCTCGAACTTTTTGTTAGTCGATTTATAAATTTTGAATTATTATTTATTTTCTTAGGTAATATAAAATAAATAAAAATGAGATAAGTTTTCAAATCTAATTGCACCTTTTTTCCACTGAAAAGGGGGTTGTGAACTAAAGGAAATTAGAAATTACTATTTACCATTTATTGGTATATTCTAGGTTATTCAAATCAAATAAATTTTTTAAATTCTTCTGCGAATTTATTTCAATATTAAAAAATTATGTGATGAAGCAATTTTTTTATCGGATATTTTTGATTCATTAGTATTCGATAATGAAATTAATTAGTATTATTTAATGTTTATTAATTAATTTAAAAATTAACTTAAACTTTGAAGTTGTTTTAGTTGATGAATGAAAAGAAACTGCGGAGAAAATGGAAAATGTGGAAAAAATACCGAAATTCTGGTGTATTAATTTTTCATACGGTCGCTATTAAACGCGAATACTCTTTTCTCGATTTCATTACTCGAGGGTACTACTTCGATTTTCTTTCGCTTTTGTGCATTGTGGATTTTAATGAATGGGCACAATTGTGTTCGATCGTAGTTCAATTTTCTTCTATTTAGTTGGCAGTTTTTGGACATTTTGACAAAATTTTCCCCATTCGATAATTCGCATACGCTAAGAGGGTGTTCATATTTCGAATAGAATTAGATTTCTCTATTTTTTTCGATTTTGACCTTTAAAATTTTTATATTTTATTTATATTTCCTTGAAATTAAATTCCCACATATTCAAGCAAAGATTTTGCAGAACGCAATTGGATTTCTCAGTAGCGATCGATTTGACCGCATCGAATGGGCAAATCAATAA